CATCATTGCTCGTGAGCTGAAAGCACTGGACACTGAGCTTGGAATGGTGGGGAAGGAGGCAGGAGATGGCAGTACTATTGACGGTTGCGCTCTTGGTTTGGCTTCATTTGTAGAGGCAAAGTTCCTCCAGCAGAGTGCTGGCAGACTGAAAGACTTTGGGGAACAGCAACAGATTCACCAGTCTTGGCCTCAGACTGTGCAAGGACAGAGGACAAGAGACCCAGTCTGCTGTGAACAAGAATCCGTGAGCAAACTTTACCTGCTTAGCTTGCAACGGAGGCATGGCAGCAAAATGCAAGGTGCTTAGCAGTCTCTTTGAATGAGTTGACTCACCGCAGCTGGCACCGTTAGATATGTATATATATATATATAGATCAAGTGGTGCCGAGGCTGGATCAATGCGTGCAGCTTCGCTCACACATCAGAGACTCTTAGCTGAATGCTCAATAACGAGCATGACAGACATTCAGATTGGGAATGCTCGAGGAAGTGGATCGTCAGCAAAGCTGGCAACCGGGTTACTGTGGGCAATAAGCTCTTAGAGACTCTTGTATGCCTCAGAATTAAGATTAAGATGCAATTCTTTCTAGCTGCCAAACTCCTCTAAGAAGGGCAAACTTTTATCCAGTTGAAGTTGGGCCATTCAAATCATGAGGATGTGATCAACAAATGCCTCTCGGAGACGCAAAAGCTCCATATTGGGGCTGCAATTGATGACCCACTTGCCGTATTGACCTAAGCCGCCCCAGAATGGTGGGACTTGTTTCTTCTTTTTTCCCACTGTTTACAAGCAAGGCAGGAGAGCTCAAAGATGGAGGAGTGCTGGGCCTAGATGATACACGGATCATATGGAACCTTATGGAACTCTTACGTCTTTATATATATATATATACACATGTAGAAGGACACGCTGCATATTTCGTTTGGTTCGACACGTGCTGAGGTGATGTCTGGATTTGTCTACGAGGAGGTAGACGCTGCACTGGCCAATTTCTCGTGAGCTGTTGTTTTCTTCACCACTCCTGGTGCACAGAGGTATCAGGTCACTTGTTAAATGTTTGACTTGATTGACCTGCCAGGCGCCAGACCATGGCTCTTCCAAAGCTGCACGGCTCCGGCAAGCGGACCGCTGGGAAGTGAAGAGGGACGGATGGGAAGAAGTGACCCATGACGTGGGTCCCACGGGATGCCATAATGTGGCTTTGAACACCTTCTACAAGATCAATCTACAGTAAATGGACGTTTCACTGCATGCTGGTTGTCATTTTGCTACATTTGGTATATGCACAGGCCTGAGGCACTGCTAAGACCACCGCCCCGCAAACATTGGAAAAGGTTGTTTGATTTCAGCTTTGTGAAGCTACTCGGATGATGAAGTAGTTTGCTTTTCATGCCCACACTTTTCTAGGACCAGGCAAACTGTGGTCAGTCTTGCGGCTTGAGCCGACAACATCGTTGCCAAGACCATGTGTTTTGGAAAAGGCTATAAACTTGACTTGGCGGCACCCAAATTGCTGCGAAATGGCGACATGAGGGTAGGCTTATGATGTGCATTAAAGCTAGTTCTGATGACACAGCAAAACATAAAAGCATAAACAAGGCAAACACAATGCAAAACCAATGCTGCAAAAAATGCACAGAAAACGATGAAAACAAAAACACGTCACCAAGGGAAGCGTCGAAATGAAAAAAATGCAAACACCACGCGCAAAAAAGCACCGCAATTGTCCACTTAAAAGTTCAAAACATGCACACATAATGCAAACAAATGCAAAAACAAGGCAAGCAAAAAAGACAAAAGCACACAAAACGTTCTGGTCTTTGCATTTGCTTTTTTTGCTTTTTATGTGCCTTTAGATTGCCAGTCCTTTTGCGATGTTTTGCATTTTTTGTGCATTGTTGGTGCGTTTCCTTGGGAAAACGCCCAGAAAACGAAAAACGCAAACAACACGCACACAAATCACAAAAAATGACGTACACATATCGCACACAAAACACACAAACATCGCAAAAACACACAAAAAAGGTGGTGTGGGAAATTTGGTTGTGCATGTGCATTTAGTGTGTTTTTTGCATTTGTTTTGCGTTTTCTTTTGTGTTTTTTAAACTGATGTTTTGCGTTTTGTTTGCGTTTAATTTTTTGCGGCTTCCTTTTGGAATTCTTGAGCTTTTTGATATGCACTCTTTTTGACCAGCTGCTTTTTTGCCCTTTCACGCCTTTCTTTTGCATTTCCTGGTCATCATTTCTGAGTGCTTTTTTCCCCAAACAGTTTACTGTCAGGGGTTCTCAATGCTTTAAAGAATGGTCGCCTTGGTGCTGGATGGTCTGGTCGGGTTCCCGGCCAGCTTGTCTCCCACTTCCTTTCATTTGTCTCCCAGTTCTTTTCATTTGTCTCCCAGTTCTTTTCATTTGTTTCCCCCCAGGCTGGGTGCTTGTGGTCGGGTTCCCGGCTCTCCTTTCATTTGTCTCCCAGTTCTTTTCACTTGTCTCCCAATTCTTTCATTTGTCTCCCAGGTTGGGTGCTTGTGGTCGGGTTCATTTGTCTCCCACTTCTTTTCATTTGTCTCTCAGGCTGGGTGCTTGTGGTGGGGTTCGGTTCCCGGCTGGCTTGTCTCCCACTTCCTTTCATTCTCGGCGCTTGTGCTCGGGTTCCCGGCCGGCTTGTCTCCCACTTCCTTGAATGTCTCTCCCACTTCTTTTCATTTGTCTCCAGGCTGGGTGCTTGTGGTCCGGTTCCCGGCTGGCTTGTCTCCCACTTCCTTGCATTTGTCTCCCATTTCCTTTTATTTGTCTCCCGCTTCTTTTGTCTCCCATGTTTGTCACCGCTAATTTCTGCCCTTTTCCGCTGGCCATGCAGCATTTCTATTCATGTCCCAGGTCTGTCACTGCTGGTGTCCGCCCTTCTCCGTTTGCAGGTCTGTCACTGGTGTGTCCTTGTGTATTGGCCATGAAGCATTTCTATTCATTTGTCTGCCAGGTCCGTCACTGCTGGTGCCATGTAGCATTCATTTGTTTCCCAGGTCCGTTACTGCTGCTGTCCGCTCTTTTCCGTTGGCCATGTAGCATTTCCATTCATTTGTCTCCCAGGTCTGTCACTGCTGGTGTCCGCCCTTTTCAGCATTTCTATTCATTAGTCTCCCAGGTCTGTCACTGTTGGTGTCCGCCCTTTTTCCGCTGGCGATGCAACATTTCTATTCATTTGTTTTCGAGGTCTGTCACTGCGTCCGCCCTTTTCCGCTGGCCATGCAGCATTTCTATTCATTTGTTTCCCGGGTCTGTCACTGGTGCTGCCGCCCTTTTCCGCTGGCCATGTAGCATTTCTATTCATTTATCTCCCATGTGACTTCTTTCTTTTTGTCTTTCAGGTTTGGTGCCTGCACTGCTGTTTTCTGCCCTGTCCGCTGGAACAGGTTCGCGTGTGAAAGGTTCTTGCTCCTTTGAAAGGGGTGCGTGACTGTCTCCGGGATTGCATTGCTGCCACACTGTGTAACTCTCTCAGCTTTGTTTTCCTTTTCGGGCAAGCGTTGGATGAATGACCGGATTGGATTTCGGCGGCGTGGCAGCGATCTCTCTGTTCAGTTGGGGCGGAGGGCATACGTCAGGCACCAAGAATCATCCTCATGCTTTTATTTCTTGTCCTCACGTGGTCAGCTGCCCGCTGATTGAGCAGCATGACCAGCATCATGTTCGCACTTGAAGAATAATTCCCCAAAAGGTTTACTGTTAGGGCTTCTCAATTCTTTCTTAAGATGTGTCCGCCCGCTCTGTACTGCTGTGTCCGTCTCTGCCTTGCAATCCTTTACATTTGTCTCCCAGCTCTGGACGTCGCAAGCTCTAGTTTAACTGTTTGGGGTCTACGGTGGTGTAATTTGCATTTTTAAAATGAATCCTTGAGATTTCAGAGTTAGGCTGTAAGGCACATCATAAGGGTAGGCAGATGTATTTCAATGTCCAAGTGAGACAATTGGGCTGGGACATCAGTATGTACACTACATGATAACATTCACAGCTGCGGGGCAGATGACGCGAAGGAGAAGTGTAGGAGGGAATAAACACATTGTCGAAAGGAGAAACACCATAAGCCTCAACGAAGTCGATCACTTTAATCATACCCGCGAGGACGAAATGAACCGCGAAAGGAGAATACACAGCCGGCCGGGCACAGGAAGGCAAAGGGCGATGCGAACATTTTGCATACTGCCAAGCTTCTTGACAGTCAGAAAAGGGTTGGTGAATGGGCTCGCAGGTATTCGCAGGTCTCAGTTTGCAACACAGTGTTCAAGATAGAATCTATCGTCACTACAACGCGCAGGCAGCCAGGCTGATTGGTTTTCTTGTTGAGAATGATGGCACAGCAAAAGCAGTTGCTGTCGGTATTCACAAAGAAGGCCCTTTGCGAAATCAGCAGGGTACCGCCAGCTTGATTTGGACTGCACAAAGTTGGCAGTGTAACCCAGCAATGGCTGGCAAGTTGGTATTTTCATCCAAAAGGCGACTTGTGTGGTCCTCGATCTTGACTCATTCCGAGTGGACAGATCTGGAGCTCAAATTCTAGAGTGGTGACGACATTGATGCAGTTTCTCCTGGAAGATATGTTTCCTAACAGAGGTGGATTTGGATTTTGGATTACTGTGGGACATATCATTTTCCCGAGATTTCCCCAAATCCACATGGATGGGGACAATGCTTTATATACTTAAATTGTGTGTGTTTGTTTGATATATAATTCTGTCGTTTTGTGATGTTTTGGAGTGCATGGAAATCGCAGTCGTTCTTCAAGTCAAGAACCAGGTACAACAAGCATCGTGTCCAAATTTTGCGGACAACACGAAACCATTGATTTTGCAGGTTTTCGGTAGTCAACCGTTTCAGCATAATTTTGTTTTGTAGACACAGTCTTTTCTTTTTCTCAAAATATCGCTATTAGGTTGGAGGCCATCGCTTCTAGGGTGGAGGCTATGGCTATTACTGTAGGTTCCTTTTGCAATTAAGCTGTTTTGAGAAACCTTGTCCTTTTGTGGCCATCACTTCATGGAAGCCGAATGCCCTCGGAGTGCTCGGCACCTTTGGTTGCCCCAGGCGCTCTCATTTTAAAGGGCTTTGGACACCGGCCTCAATTGGGCAGATTGATTGTTTTGTGGCTCAGGTGTCTGGGACAACAGATGGCACAGACGAGGCACACATTTAATGTGCATTCTACTTCTTTGATTTGTGATTCAAATAGAGCACCTTGTGACATGGTTCTTCAAAGTCCATTTGCCAAAGCGAAAGGAACGCACACACACACTCATGGATATGCGTACTGACTTGACAGCGGTGCCACACGCCGGCCTAGGGTACCATTTCCTAAGAGTACAAGTAGGAAACCACTGGAGCCTCGGGGTCCTCAAACGGAGAAATGGCCCAAAGCGGAAGAAGCCAATCGGCGATCATGGGTCGAACAAGATGACGGCGGTGCGTGCACATCTGCGGAGCTCACTAGCCCTTTACAAAGAAAAGGAAGAGGAAGAAGGGTGGCCGCCAGCCGCGGCTTATAATGCGCCCAGGTGCACCAAGCAGGTACGTTTACACAAGCACTGCATGAGAGTCTTCGTTGGCTCTCGTCTCATGCAGGCTCCGAGAGCCCCCTGCTGAAGTAAATAGAAGCAACTCAACGGAATTCCTGTAACTACAAGGGGCACACACACACACACACGCCTCCCCGAGGGGAGGCGAGAAGCACTAAGGTCCGGGCAAAGGTGTGAGTGTGCGCGCAGAAGACAAAAGAATGAAGACATGAAGAGGACAAGACGGGACAGACCTGAAACCTGATTTGAAAGTAGGTGGTGCATGTACAAACTAAGGGCCGGGCAGTGTGCACGCAAAAGAAGGAAAGAGATGAGCTGACAGGACATGAAGCAAGGGAAGACATGAAAGAAAAGAAGAGAAAAGAAATAGGTAAAGGGGAAAGGATGAAAAGGGGAACCACATGGAGGGGACCGAAACCGATGAAGCCAAACCTCATTACAACGACCTAGGAAAACCTGCCTCGTTTGAATGTAAACGCTGTATGTGCACCCAAGGTCTCGACGTTCCAATGAACCTTAAACTTGCTTTGACCGCTGTGGGCACCTTGTGCCCTGCCGAAATGGCTGGCTGCTTTGACCGCTGCGGTCACGTAAAGGCATGAGCCAACTTGGAACTCCAAAGATGAGACAAACATCTAAGTTCTTGTGGCATGAGCCATCTGCCGTCCGCTCCGGACACGTACATCTCCAGCCAGCAGAGATAACGACAGACACCCGTTCGACGGGTCCACGGGAGGCACTCTACGGGCTCATCCCGGACTCTCACTGGGAGAGACACACTTATGGATATGCATACTGACATGACAGCGGTGCCACACGCCGGCCTAGGGTACCATTTCCTAAGAGTACAAGTAGGAAACCACTGGAGCCTTGGGGTCCTCAAACGGAGAAATGGCCCAAGCGGAAGAAACCAATCGGCGATCACGGGTCGAACAAGATGACGGCGGTCCGTGCACATCTGCGGAGCTCACTAGCCCTTTACAAAGAAAAGGAAGAGGAAGAAGGGTGGCCACCAGCCGCGACTTATAATGCGCCCAGGTGCACCAAGCAGGTACGTTTACACAAGCACTGCATGAAAGTCTTCGTTGGCTTTCGTCTCACGCAGGCTCCGAGAGCCCCCTGCTGAAGTAAATAGAAACAATTCAACGGAATCCCTGTGACTACAAGGGGCACACACACACACACAAGCACACAAACTCACAAATGTTGAGTTGGTGCTCACATGTGTTCACACATTAGTTACATGCAAGTTCGTTGCGCAGTTGGAAGAGTGGCTCGCTAATGCGCGGCTGGAGGGTGTCCTGGTGCAGTCTGAGGAGGCCAACTGTCGTTTTGTGTTTGTTGTCCCTGAGAAGCATTCAAATCTGTGCCAGTTGCCCAAGATCCTGACAGCTCTCAAACAGGTGATTGTTTTGCATGACTTGACTTGACAAAGGTGTTGGCAACTGGGCGGCAGCTCGGGGACCAGGCTTTCAGCAGGACAGATGCTGCATGTGCATGTGGTGGTGCAAACAAGTTTTGCCAATCTCCCGTTCATCATGTCGTTAGACTTGGAACTGGTGAGAGGTTTGTGGCATCTTTGCTGTCTGCTTCTGTGGAGTGCTCGCCTTGAGTTGCAAGGAACTCTTGTTCAGCCAAAAAATGTCAAAAATGTGAGCAGTGCAATTTGCCCTTCGACCGAAAGCTCAACCTGATTGAACTTCTAGCTCGAGACAGGTTTGCCAGAAGACCACCGCTTGATGGCTTGCATACAGGCTGGCACAGTTGCATGTTTCATGGATCCCAAACTGAGAGTCAGTGCATGTGAAGATTGCTACAGCCGTGGAGGAATCCGAATCCAGCACATTGTCTGACGCTCAATCCCTTGGGATGGCTGAGGTTGAACATTTCATGTTCTGCTGCGCGAAACCTGTGCCCACAAGGATTTGTCAGGCAACTGTCTGACTGACACTGCTGCAGCCGGGAGTTCAGAGAGCTTATCATGGAGATGACTTGCTCTTGCAACCACAACACTTTAGGGTTCAAAGAACGTATTTCAATACAAGATTCCAGCCCTGTGTGAGATTCTCTTCGGCCACAGGACACCCTTTTTGGCGACCAAGGCTGCCTTGGCAGAGTGCTTGGCATGGATACGTGAACACTTCGGTGGTCACGTCTTAAGGTCGGACCTGTGGGACCCGGATGGAGTCACCGTCGACGGTGGACCCGGATCGACGTCGGAGGTCCTTGCACTTGTCCCAGAACCAAATTGGTCCAGGAGGAGCTGAGGACCGGATCTATTTTGGCACCAAAAACTACAAACAACATGTGTCGTTAGACACAAGGGAACAGATCAACAGGAACACCTGGCGATTTGTGATTCAGGAGCTCGCCTTAAAGTTTTTTCCACTGGACTCCAGTCTTGTGGAGCCACTTGGCAAAAGGAAGAACGGAGGGCCTGTGGCAGAGAAGTTGCTGCCTGAAAGCATGAACACTGCCGTAAGCACAATGATGACGCATGCAGGGCTGCATGCGAAACACACTCAGTAAAGCTGACAGTTCAGGTATGATTTGGCTTTATCTGCAAATCCGCCGATTTCCCAGAGTGCGAGAATCCGGTTTGCTCACCTCGATCGTTGGTCCGCGGTGCTCTGATGTTTGAGGCTGGGCGACGTTGGTGTGACCTTGGTGGCAAGGGCCGTCCAGAGGAGAAACTGCAATGCAGCACCAGTCTCAGCAATCACATGCAGAGGATCGGAGAAACGCCAAACGAGTCCCACATGAGTCGCACGAGACTGAGGTTTTGCATCTGAGTGATGTAGGATGCGGAGCGGAGGGTCCTGATCTCAGTTTGAATGGCACGGGCAGAGTTTTTGCACAACTACTGACATAGTTTATATGTGCGACTTTTTCACAGGTTGTAGATCATTGACAGATTGCCTCCCAGCACTCAAGGCGAGATACAGCGTTTTTGGGTGGTTGTCTGCTCATGTGCTGCAATTTTGCCTCGCTTGCCAAGGGTCTTGATTTGAGCAGCGGACCAAGCTGTGGCTGCAAAGTGACGGTCGAAGGCTGCTTCTTTGTCAGTGCAGTCAGCGAAATCTTTAAGGCAAGAACAATATTCCTGGAGCGGAACTGCAAGCGCTGGTTCTTACCTTGGCCTTGCTTTCAGTCTTTTAGACAAGGATACTCTGGGACAGTGAAGCTTCTAGACTAGAGACTAGACTCTTTGCTTCTGTGGAAAAGCCAGGTTTGAAAAGCAAGGTTAGTTGGCTGTAGCATCTTTTTTAGGCGGCTAAGCTGCCAGCAACTGCACGGTTTGTGCTGCCTGAAGGCAAGGCGCTATCAGGTCATTTTGCGGTTGTTCAGGAGATGTCCCTGTTTCTTGTGTTTGTTTTCGATTGTCCTGGAGGCCTGCCCGCTTCCCAGACGATGGTGGCAACGCAGATGACGATGGAAAGGGCTGTGGTGCCAGAGAACAGAAAGGTACCAGATCGCCAGTCGCTTGGGGTTCTTTCTCAAGTCTTTCCTTCTCTCTCCTTTGCTGGAGGCGGCAGCGGCAGCTAACGCGGTTCCACGGGCTCAGGCCAAAGATTCTGCATTTGCGTCGTTTTTGTGAAGCTTGTGGACACTTTGCAGGCTGTCCTAGACCGTGCCCGCCGGGCTTTGGGAAAACCGCACCATGCCAAGATAAAAGCAGTCAAAAGCATGCCGCGAAGCTTTGTTGAGCTTTTCGTGTGGCTTTTCAAGGTCTGATGCGACACCTGCCCCAGCAGCACCTGGTGCAAGAGGTGCAGGCTGGACAGAACTGTGTCCTTGGACCGGCTTAGCGAGTTTCAGTTCTGGCTCGTCTTTCTTCTCACGATCACCTTGCAGGTCATGACACACACTCCGTCAGCATTGCCAGCGGATTGCAGGTGCGTTCACGCGACACATAGCTTGTTTCGCGCACGTTTGGGCACAAGTAGTACGATAGGTACCAGGAGAGTAGGTCAGTAGTGTAGTAGTATGTCTATGTATGTCACTGTATGTCTATGTGTTCAACTTTCACATTGTTCATTTCTTTCCCTGGTGTGTGTTGGATGTTGGAGGCTACAATAGACAATCAAATGTTCACACGTTCCAGAGCCCCAGTTGTGTGCACTCCTCAGTTGAATGCATTATGTTACGTTATTCTTTTATTTGGTGATTCTGGTTGTGGACCATTTGGAGACATACTTTTCCGTCTGACTCAGGTGTCTTGCTCCAGATGGAGGGATGCTTCAGAGGCAACTAATCTGTCTATTGAAGAGTTTGACATGGACAATTGAGATGAAGGCGCTTTGCTTTGCTAAGGCAGCACTCCCCTTCAAGAGTTTCTGCCACAGCGCAGGCAAGAGTATTTTTTCCTGTTTTGTCACTTGCCACCACTCATTACTGGACAGTTTTCAGTGAACCCTAAAGCGACTCCACAATGATCGTCGCACTGTGACTCGTGCTTGCATTCCCATGTTGCCTGTTTGACAGGAGTGGACAGAAGGAGTCTTTCATCTTCTAAGACATGTATCTGCCGTAGATCGACGTCCAAGGTTAAATTGTTCAGGTGTAGAAGGGTACAACGGACTTCATGGATGTGAATAGTACTAGTATTAAATCGATTTCACTTGACCCAAATTATCTGGAATTGCATGCAGTGTCTGCATCTTTGCATAGGCAGTTCTTGATCGTGCGCGCCATGTACTGCAAAGGACAGGGGTTTCAGATTCGGTCATGTGCTGGTCAGCCAAGTGGTTACATCTAAGTCTTGCCAGGCAGGCTGCAACAGGTGTGTTGCCAAGAACTTCCTCCACGGCATTTCGCAGTGGGGCTTCTGTGGCTCCACCACAAGCAACCATGGAGGCAGCGCCAAGTCCACAGCTGCCAGAAGGAAACATGGCTCAGAACGTCACAGAGTTCAGAACACAAGTCCCATTGGCGGCTGAAACAAAGAATTCAGAGTTGCCAAAACACGGGGCTCTCGGAACTCTCGGAGCTCTGAGCCAAGAGCAACCGGCAGAATTGGCATCAGCCACATCAAGATTGGCTTCCGCTACAGCGGCACTTCAACTTCAGCTTGGAGTGGAGAGGCGGCCCAGACAAGCTTCCGAGGGTGAACGACTGGTGCCAGACGAGTGTGAGCCCGACGCTGAGGCCCTCGCTATGCCAGAGCGCACGGTACGCCTTGAGCGAGAAGTCGCTGAGCTGAGGGAGGATGTTCGCAGGATTGAGCACACTGTTTCATCCCTGCAGATTGAACCGGAGCAAGAGGACAGGATTGAAGACAATGCTGAGTTGCTCTGGTGTGAAGGGTTGACATCAAAGATCAAGCCTGATTGCGATATGGAAGAAAAGATGAAGCAGGAAAAGGAGAACAATGAAGGCTCAATTGAGGAGGATGATATTTGCTCAATGCCAAGCATTGCCTCTTTGAAAGCAGAGAAGGACTTAAGGGAGTCTGAGAGCCTGCCAAGCAAAAGAGACCTAAGCCCATTGAAGAGTGAAACAAAACCATCCAAGGGCCCTCCAAAGGGAAAAGGTAAAGGTCCTCCTTTACCTTCTTCGAGCCCGAAGGCCTCGCCGTCCAGACCAAAAGATGAGGCGAATCCGGAGCCCAAAGAAGAGGCTAAATTGCAAGATCCATCAGCTCTGCAGACTCCGCAGGTGGCTGGAAAGGGGAAAGGCAAGGCGAAAGGCGGTCCCAAAGGTGTTCCCAAAGGTGGGCCAAAGGGAACCGGAAAGGGCGGTCCCAAAGGTGGTCCTCCAACAAAGGGAGGAGGACCAGGCCCTCCTCCCAAAGGCGGTCCTCCAAAGGGCCTGGGGCCCGGCCAAGGCCAAGGACCGGCCAAGGCTGAAAGCAAGGCACCATTTCACAAGAAATTGTACTGGAAGCAAGTTGACATTGCAGATGCTGAAGGGACCATCTTCAGTGAGGAGAGTAGACGCAGGGCAAACACATGCAGTGCGATAGATTTCAATGCGCTCTCCAAAATTCTTGAAGCTGAGAAGACCAAAGGTTCTCAACTTCAGCGTCGCTCTTCTGGCGTTTTGAGCAAGGCTCAGATGCGCAACATCGGAACAAAAGTTCTGAGCGACCATCGAGCTCGCAATATTGCAATCGTTTTAAAGCGAATGCCAACCAGCACAACTGAACTGGTGCGTGTCCTCAGCAGTTTGCAATGGGAGGACGATCGCATAAGCAGTGATGACTTGGAGCAGATTCTAGAAGCGATTCCAACGCAGGATGAAGCCAAGAAGCTTCGAGAGCATAGCTCACCGGAGGCATGCCAAAAGCTTCGAGATGTTGAGCAGATGGTCATGCCTTTGACCCTGTTGAACCGAGCCTCAGCAAGAGTCAGAGTGCTTTGTATTGCGCGCAATGTACGCCTGCAATTCAAGTCGACCATGAGAAGCTTAGCCAGAATTCGGGCTGCCTGTTTGGCAATCCAGAAGTCTGGTATGTTGCGTAATGTCATGTTGCTTGCGCTCCAGCTCGGCAACTTCATCAACCACGGGGATTCGACAAAGGGAGCTAAGGCGATTGCCATTGGCTCCCTTTTGGCCCTACGAGACTTTAAGTGCGGAGAGGGCATTTCGACCTTGCACTTTCTTTGTGCATCTTTGATGCGGTCGGGGCAACCCGATGCTGCCCAAGTCCTTCAGCGCGAGCTGGTGCCTCAAAGGACAACGCCTTTTTGAGTAGATGATGCTTTCAAGTGAGCTTGTTTGGCATTTGATAAGACTCCTGCTTTGTCTGAGGCTACAGCCAGCAGAAAGAATAGCAAAGATGCAGGCAGCTTTTGATGGCCAATGCTGAAAGCATCTGAAAGCCAATAAATTGCTAGACTCAATTCCTTTGACATGGAAACCAGGATCATGACGTAATGGCAGCATGGAAAGCTTGCAGGTTCAGGGACTGTCAGCAGGGATGAAGGCCTTCGAACGTGATCTCGACAGCATCAAATCAGAGTGCAGGGTACCCAGTGTGCAGTTGCATTACACGAAGGTCAGAAATGGCTTGGAAGTAGTCCAGCTTTGGAGAGCCGGTCGCAGTCTACCATTCACTAGGCCGGAACTATCTAGAAGAGTATGAAGGAGGCGGTGATGATGCAGTTGAGCCCTTGACATAGTTGAAAGAGAAGATTCAAATCCGGACTGATGACCTTTTCTGACCTGTGGCAACATGCTTTTCTCACTATTGCCGTGACAGAAGTGGTTTAGGGCTGCATTTAAGGCCCGCGCTTGATGATGATGCAAAGGACTGGGATCTAACTAAAAAGCTTGTCAAGCAGCTATGTTGATGGTTCTGACAGGAATTCGGACAGGAGCTGGCAGAGGTGGCTTTGAGATTTGAACACGATACTGATATTACTGATGGCCTTCTACCCTCCTCTGAGCCTTTTGAGCGCAAACCTGGCAGGTCCAAGCAGCGGCTGCCGCCGCGGCCTGCGACATGCTGGAAAGCCCTAGGAGACGGCAGAAGGAAGACGAAGATGCTACCCGATGGGTTGAGGACACCATCTTGGAATTGCCAAGCGTATCCTTACCCTCCATCTCTCTCTCTATATATATATATGTGCCTGAGCCTTCAGTTTGCTTCTTTCCACCCTTTGTGCTGCAACTACGAACCCTGCACAAGCTCTTTACACGTTCTCTTGATATTCTTATTGAACTTACTTACTGTATGTCCTTTTTCTAACGAAAGGGAGCCTGGTAAGGGCTACCTTGAGGTGGCTTTGCGAAGCAAAGGGGTAGCTTCAACAGCCTGCTCGGGACCAAAGATTGATATACCAGTTCTATGACCCCCCCTTCGTGTGATTAATCAATCATTTGATGACCCCCGCCAGTGTTTGCTTTGCTTACTACTAGCCCCTGTCTGGTCTCTCCTCTTATGTCTGACTGACGTATTTGGCTCAAGGCTGGTAAAACAACCGCTTGCTTGATAGCACGTCACTTGACAGAGCTTCCGTTGCACTTGTCCGGTGGACCGGTCTCGAGACAGTGTCTTTCCACGGGTGCCCCACTGCAATTGCACTGTGTGTCATTTAGTGGTAGCGGAGCCTGCTCGTGATGTCCACGTCAGTCGATGATGCTACGGAAGTGCCATGGCCAGGTGCCGACCAATCAGCAATGGCAGCGATGCCTTCGTTTGCAGTTCCTGCGTCTCATAAGGAGTCAATGAGCCTCCGATGTTCGATGGTCGTGTCAGCTGGCTTCGTTACGAAGAGGCTGTAGATGATTGGTTAGCCATTGCCAGCATTGATAAGGCCGAAAATTATTGTGGACCACGGTTGAAGACACGTCTAATGCCCCGATCTACCGAGAGCTTCTTGACAATGATCGTCTGAGGGACCCTGACAACGGCATCAATTACTTCCTGGCAACATTACCTACTTCGTAAAGGGAGCGCAGAACGTTTTCCACTACAGAGCCCTGAATTTCTTCAACCTTGGGGCAACCAAGAGTTCGTGACACTCACTTCGAAGTTCGAGACCCTTGGATGGACACCTTGCCAGCGCCAGAACGACAATCTTGCCGATTACAGTCGTGCAGTGTAGGCAATGATCGAGCGTGTGCCGTTTATGCACTTTGGCAAGCTGAGGTTACGGCCGCCGGAGTGGCCCTGAACGCCCTGCCGATTCTTACTGGGCTGATAGAGCGCCGGAAAGTCAAGATATTTTCGATAAGTGGCTTAAGATCTGTCAAGACAGACGTAGGATTCTTTTTGCGTTTGCCAACAACTTCATTGCTCTGTTCTTTATCATCCAGTCTGAGCTTTCGGCAGGCCAGCGTGAACGTTTGACTAAAGTGACCCAAAGTAAGGGAATCCTGACTCACTTGTACGATAGACACCATAGAACAGATGGTCCCGTTCTGGATTGTGGACCAGGGAGAAGAAGGTTTCTGGGTCGAGGGCAATGAAAACGAAGAGGAAGGCTTTGTACCTTGAGATGACGAAGCCTTTTGGGCCTTTGATGAGCATGAATCTTTTGCCATCCGTAAGGTCCCGGGTAGACGCCTAAGGGGTCGACGATGACCTTGATACCGTATCTCAGGAGGTTCCGCTAGACCATTTGTCCCTGAATGCAAGAGCGAGTTTCAGCCAGAGACGGGAGAACCTGACATTATTGAAGAGCGATGGACACTGGCGAGAATGTAGCTCCGATGGAGAAGCCATGGACAGGTAAAACACAAATTGTCACGGATGAATCGCCGAAGATCAGAACACCAATCTTGGATGAACCTGTTCCGTCTTCGTCCTCGTCTTCAAACAAGGAGCCTGTTGATAAACCATCTTGTGGCTTGCCTGTTATCATTTCCGCTGATACTAGGGACACGAAAGAGCCTAAAGACGATGATCCATTCATCGACCCTCCGCCAACCTTGCCCATTGCAATGGCCAGAATACACAAACGTTTGTACAGTAAGAAAGAACTTCTTAAGCCGCAAATGAAACATCATCATATGAGCTTTGAACAGTCAGACTGATGGTTTAAGGTCTGAAGTTAACTTTTTGGACAGATGACTTTCATGGACCGCTGTGAGGTCTCAACCCTGTCAAGAAAACGAATCATTATCCTGACTATCTTGAATTGAGCAACTACGCTTTTTAACCGCGATTCCTGCGACTAATAAGAACAAGCCTGAATCCATCAAGGCTTTTCATGAGTATGTAGATCAGTATCAGCTGCAGCCGAAGTACGTCGTTGCCAATCAAGCGTTTATGAATGGGAAAGAAGCTACCCAATTCTGAACATTCGTCCAATCAGTCTTGGTCCAATGACACCTGGCCGAATCGTGCTGAGACAGCCAATCGCATGTTTAAGAAATAGGTGAAAAACATGATCGTCTTCCCCCGTACCTGTACGAGGCAAGAGTGCACAAATAGTTCCAGAAGAATTCTTTAGTTCTGATGCGACTTCCTTTGCAGACGCACGCTGGAAGTATGAGGTTGGAGGTAGGTCCATGTTCTTTGAGATCTTTGCCGGTTCTGCCAGGTTAAGTCAGTGCTGTGCCTTGTCTGGTATGAAGGTAGGAACACCAATTGATATTAGGAATGGTTTTGACATTTTCATGTCCAAGGGACGATCAGCGACTAACCGGATCGTTGTGAGCAGCAGCCAGATGTTGTCACGTTGAAGCCTGTCTGTGGCCCTTTGTCCCATATGCAATACCTCCATGATGGGGAGTCCGTCCAACAGAAATGTCGCAAGATGTTGCCAACGGTTGATTTTTGTACCGAAGTCGCTAAGCGCCAACATACATCGACAAAACAGATACTTTGGCGTGGAGAATCCTTTCACCTCTAAGCTCTGGTATGCCAAGTTACAAAGTCCATTTTTGAACTTCCGACGGAACAAGGTGTCACTTTTGGCAGTCTTGACGTGTGTTGTTTTGGCGCAAGAGATCTTAAGCCAATGTCGTTGCTTCGTAATTTTCCGCCTGGAGTTGTTGATCCAGCCTGCCGTCGATGTTCCAACAGGTATTGTAAACACAAACGTGAACATGAACATCTTGAAGGATCAGCCAAAGGACATGGAAGTAGAACTCATTTAGCGCAGGTCTATCCCTATAGACTTTGCCAAGCGCTTGCCAATTGTTTCAGCAGGTTCTTTAATGTCCGTCCAACGGACAGCTGCGCATGTCTGTATATGGACCCCCTAGATGATTTCACAGATCCTGAGTGTCAACACACACTTGTCTTCTGTCTTCCAGTTCGCTGATGAACATGACTTCCTGCGTACCGATAAGATCATTCGCGCGAAAGAGTTAACTGCCAAGACCACCAGTACGATCCTTCGAAAAAGTTCTTTTCGCGTATGTCCAAGGCTATATCCCAGGTTTCCAGCACCTGTGAACTGGACATGCATTCGCAGAACTATGACGGTCAACAAAGGATATCTCTGAAGAATGATGTTCCTTCCTGCGTAGGAAGTTTCTGCCGCATTTCTCTTTTGAACAGTGTTTTGATTTGGCGCAAATACGAGTTTGGCGTCGCCGCCAGATCTTTCCATTCTTTTGTGTGGCGCAAGAAAACACCGCATCGCGTTTATGTCCTGACAGCGTCCGCGTGTCACCACAGCCTCAGTGATTTTCATCCTTCCGGACGGACCTTTGTATTATTCGCCGTGTCGCTGTCTTACGCAAGCGCGCCCGGTGTACGCACTTTTGCCTGCGCCGTCGGAAGCCTTTGAAACCAGACCAATTCACCACCAGCGCCACAGGTACCAACACTTGGGAGCCATACCGGTTTTCCTATCGAACCCCCTGAGGAATCTTGTTTCTTTGCCAGAGCTCATTCCCGATAAGCCACCTCGCCCTACGTCCGCGTCTGTTGTCAATCCTGATGCGCTCGTTTTGCCGCCGACGCCTTCTGCAGCCCACCCCAGGTTACGACTGACCACATGCAGGCCTTTGCTTCCAGCAGTATGGACTTTTCAGCGCTTGCTCACATGAACCGACCTTTGCTAAGACCTTTCAAGTTTTCACGTACATAGTATGACCTGTACTTAGTTGACCGAGCTTTCCGTTGTGCGGCTGACATTGACTGTCAAAAAAATACTCTTCTGAAAAGTATATATATATACATATGTATGTATTTACATAATAACGACCTTAGTCGTTTCAATGACAGTTTCGTGCACAGGGGTCAAGAAAATTGTGTTTGTTTTGTGTTTGCTTTTGCTTACTACTAGCCCCTGTCTGGTCTCTCCTCTTATGTCGGACTGACGTATTTGGCCAAGGCTGGTAAAACAACCGCTTGCTTGCGTACGCCATAGCACTTGACAGAACTTCCGTTTGCGGTTGTTCGCTGGACCGCTCATGAGACAATGTCTTTCCACGGGAACTCCACTGCAAATGCACTTCGCCCCCTCGCCAGCACCACTAGCGTCGCCCACCATCCACAGCATGTTGCCAACTGACTGGCAGCCACAGCAATACCCCTACAATGACGTTGCGCAATACGGCTTCTGCGCAATTCGCGCACATCTTCGCACTGCGTGCTTTGGGACCACAACTCTTACGCAATGCGGTTGCGCAACACTGCTTTTCGCAATGCACGCACACCTGCGGTCTTTACAAAGCGAGTGCCGGTCTGGGACCGAAGCTTTGGCACACGTCAGAATTCACACACCGCAACTTTTACGCAAGCCAGCGTTCACACACCATATTGCTCTACACAAACGAGCGTTGACGCAACAGAGTCTCTATGCAGAGCCGGGTTGACAAAACTCACCACACCACATGCCGTAACCCCCCCTCGCGACCCGGACCACTCTTATGCGGAGCGCGTATGTGACATACGACCGCGTTTGCACAGTGCAGTTTATCCTCCGCCGTGCACATGGCACACTTTTCATATATTTCTGGTAAGTGTCTACTTTTTGTGTTTCCCTGTCGCAAGTGAAACAAAACTCTGTCCGATGTGGACGCCTCGTTGTGGCAGATACAGGACCAACATTTCCTCACCCTGGCACCCAAGAATGCCGTGAATGGCAGCGCACACGCAAATCATCCTAACCTTCTGCGCAATAGCGGTAATTTTGATCGGTGACAGTTTCAGAGGTGTTGTCACTTCGCGCAGCTCACAGAATCTCAGGCAGTGCCCCGGAAGCAGGTTGTTTCGTGCCAAGTTGACAAGCTAAAAGCGTGGAACTGTATGAGCAACGACCTAAAGGGTCTGTGCACAAATCTTGATTTGAGATGAACTATTCCATTGAAATCATCCAAAAACCTGTAAAGCGATACAGTGAACCCCCAAAAGCGATACCTTCACAATGTGCACTTCAATAAAGTTAATCATTTTCTTCAATCATTTGATGTGTTTTCACTTTACATGAAGCCTTGCCAAAGCGATACCCCTGGATGATCAAAATGTGGCCTAGATGAGCGGATCCCCTTTCGTATGATTTCGTTTCATTTTCACAGTACCCGTGGAGACTGACACAGATGAAGAGCTCTAGAACAAGAACCGCAATGAAGGGGGAAGGAAATGCTATTGTGTCAATGGAAAGTTCTTTCTTTCTTTCTTTCTTTCTTTCTTTCTTTCTCTCCTTCTCTCTCTTTCTCTCTCTTTCTCTCTCGTTTTCTTTTTGTGCACTTCACTTTGGCTATGTTTTCAAGAGAATCCTCAAGAAAGATGACAAAGGCATCCGACACTGTAAAGCGATATAGCGACCCCCCAAAAGCGATACCAACATATAAAGTTTATCAAGTTTTATGATCCGTTTTGGGCGATCACTCATGTAGGGATCTGGAGGGGGTTTGAACATCACACTCACGAATAGCACCGATTTGGTTGTTTTTCCTTAATGAGGCAGACACTTTGCCAGGAATCGCTTTGCTAGTAGGTTGGAGACCATCGCTAGTAGGTTGGAGGCCATTGCTATTATATAGAAACAACGAAGAAAACGGTCCAATATAGTTATATATATGTTTCTGAGAGATGCTGACAGGACGTCATGAAGATTCGCGGCAGTGCTCAACGCCGGCTTCGGTGCATGAGGCGCATGCGCGATAGTTCTTGCCTCTCCTACACATTAGCCCCTATCAAAACCCGTCCTTATGTAGTTTGAAGGCTGCTGGACAAAACATGCTAGTCTAAAGGATAACCCTAAGAATGATAGGGCTGGAAGAAAACGAAGAAACCCCACTTTGATTGCATTATTATATATACATGATTAGTTCTGTTATATTATTTTGATATTTTCTTTGATAAAGACACAATTGGGATACAATCTGATGTATCCTTTGAGAAAGATGCATCCTTTGCGCTCTCTTAGATGTTGCCTTCCTGTTTTTGTTGCCTCAAACGGCAGGGCTTTAGTGGAATTTTCAGCATGGCAAACGATACCCCAAACGATACCATTCCGATCAATATTTGAGCATTTTTAGGCCCACGAGGCCAGAGGTTCACATGTGTTCCACATGGGCCTCAGTAGCAAGGAAAAGAACGCCACAGAATTCTTTGTGTTAAATGTGGGACTCTGAAAGTCAGTAAAAGAAGACGCGGCCATTGTGGGTGCCTGGCTATAGGCCTCATGTCGAGAGTGCTGATTCCAAAAATCAGCGCATGCTTCAAAAACGATAGGGTCGGCAACACAAAGGCAATACCACCCTTTTAATGTCCTTTACCGTAAGAGGTTTAGATCGCGGCTCACATGGAATTGGGAGGTGTATCATTGAGAAGCTTTGCAGCCTGTTGAAAGCTGACATGGAGTCCACGGCAGAACAGGCACCTTGTTATCTTCAGCATGTGATGGAACGATGCAAGTAAGAGTGGTATCTTGCTTTCAGTTCACAAACGACCCATACCCATTTTCTTTTCAGTTTGCATATGTCAGAGACTTTCTTTGCCTCAGGTCCATGCGACTTTGCGCTTCTGCGGGGTCCTACTGCCAAAGTCCTCCAATGAGGTTTGCCCTCGAGAATGTTGTAAGAGTGTGAGCAGTTCGCAGGGGCTCAGATGTTTAAGTGGCGATTGCTTTGGACCCATTTGAGCACAGGTGCCAGTAGACCTGGAGGCACTCCTTTCCAACCTCTCCGAGTTCACAAAGGCTCGGAGACATCCTTGCGCAAGAGGGGGCTTGGCTAATTGATTCCAGCAAGCTACTCCCAACAACTCCCAACTTGCTTTTGTCAGTCTATTTGACTCACGGCTAGCACACACACACAGACCCACCTAAAAGCACGTTCAATCTGAGTTGAGCCAGTTCCATGTGGAGACCTGAGGTGTTCAAAGAGCACTGGGATGAGGTTAAAAAGAATATGTCGCGCTACCAGCAGCTTTTCAGCGCCGGCCTTGTATCATTCAGGAATGAATCCTTGCCATGGCCAAATCGTGAGTGAATTCGGTCCTCAACCACCCCAAAGCTCAGGTGACGGTGAAAGCGCATCATCCAGCGGCGCCCAGTGAGGCAGTCGCTATGCTAATGCAAACTGAGAAACCCGCCGGGAATACTTCGCAAACCGATCAACTTGTGGATCACTCATCACTTATTTACGCTTGTCAGAAACTTGTTTTGTTCTTGGTGGCTGGTTTCACTTGACTTAGTGTGTTTTTTGGCAAGCCGTTCCCGGTGAATCTCTTTTCTGAGCACAGTCGTGATTGGCGTCATGTACACTAGGAAGACGGGGAACATCCATAGCCTTTTGGATTGTAGAGCAAGATATGAATTACAATCTCCGCCTTCTCTAATTCCGCTCGAAGTGTCAAATGTGTGCAAGCACATGCATGACCTTCACAGCCTCGCTATTCTCAAAAAAGGGGAAGAGAGGGCTGGATTTCTCAAGCGCAAGCATCCGTGAGTTACGTTGCCTGAAGACTTGTGAGTATGTAGCTGAAACAGGGTGAACCTAATGGCCTCCTTGAAGGCAGAGACAGTTTGCCGATCAGGAGATGTTGGGCACCTACTACAATGTGAAAAGAGAACATCAGGATAAAACTACATCAAGTGCTTCCAGACTGGCTCTCACACCAAAAACTAGTAGTTCAAGTTCCTTCGCAAGACACGACCTTAGGAAAAGGTTGAATGGAGCCACCAAGATTCTTATTCCCACTCCTTTGGAACTTTAAGAGGTCAAGAGTCTGGCCACAGAATGTGTAGAATTACGGAGCCATGGCAATGGAGAATGTGGACTGAGCCAAGCATGTCCAGACTTGGATCAGAAGGATGTTAAGAAGCTCCTGCGCGACCTCACTGAATCTGTCTTGCTCCGGCAACCAGAAAACCCGAAGTTCCATATGCTCGAGGAGCTATGGGAGCAGAAGTGTTCTTTGTGCCGTCTTCAGAAGCTTCCTTCTGGAAAACCTTTGATCAAATATCGCTCTCCTTAGTGTTTTTTGTGATGTGCTTGTTCAAAGATGCAGGTAAATATTGGAGCTGCCCTTTCACAGCCGCTTGCAACAAACTGCGGCAAATTTGAATCGCATGTGGTAGAGACTGTAACTTCTTTAGTTGGGCATTTCTTAGCAATTGAAGTATCCTGCTGCATGCACCTTCCCCTCCTCACCCTTCCTTGTTTGCTTTCTCACTTGCTTCTCATGCTCATGCAGTTCCTTCCTGATGTCAATGCTCATAGCATACTTTGATCTCATAAACTCCATCCTTGAAATGAATCTTAGATCCCCCTCATGAAAAGGTTTATATAGTCACAGTCTTGGGAGTTTCCCCTCATCAAGATATTTAGACTTAGTGATCTCTCCTGATTCATCCACTCCAAGTAAAAAGATCCCGACTTTCTCCTTCTCCAACTCCGCCAAATAAGACACCTTCTAGGGGCCGGGGGGTTAATAATCCAGGGTTGACATTATATATCCTCACTGATGTGCAAACACATTTGTGGCAAATGTCTACAAACATTGAGGGCGAGTGGTGATGATCTCATCAACAAGCACAGGACGACGCTTGATTGTGATGACCGCTTCTTTCTGTACTTGCAGGAGCCAGAAAAGACGCTCTTTGAAAGCGCTATTGTATCGGGCGTCTCGACACACTAAGGGCCAGCGCGACGTACTTTTCTCAATGCAGTTGCTTGTTTTCACAGTTGCCAGGACCTATAGTGACTTATAGCTGGAAAGTGGGTGGATCGCACAAGGTTCACAGGTATCCAACAAACCTTTTCTATGAGACTTGTTCGGTTGTTGCGCCCAAACAGTTTCAAGCATTCTGTACGAGTGGCCACCAAGAGCTGGGCTTACTTTGAAGCATATTTTGCTTTCCAAACTCGGGGGGACCGATCCTGAAAGCTTAACTATGGCTTGGTACTACACTGCAATCCCCTTTCTCATCTCCTGTTCTTTGGATTCCGACCCGGCCACGAGGTGAGAGAACCCCAGTGCTGTGCACGTAGTTGGATGATGCGAACGGCATCATCCACTGTGAGTGCAAGTGGTCCGGCAGCTTTGGTGAGTGGAGCCAGTCGAAGTGGTTGCGAAGATGGCAAGATTGTTGGCCATGCGACCTTAATGGTTGTGTTGGAACGTGGTGGCGGTGGTGATGGGGATATGTCGTTCATGTTTCGGACTTGGAGGAAGATGGTGAGGTTCATCCTGTCCTGTGGATTGTTCCGCTCCGATTCTTCCAATCGCCGATTAAAGCCCAACGGCCGCAGCATTGGGTTGAGGAGTGACTTAACGATCAGGACTATCTCCAAGAAGCCTTGAGAGAGCTGATGCTTGGCGGTTGGTAAGATGGACCGAGGGATGGTGGGAGATGAAGCGCACGTTGTAGATTCGTAGTTTGTTGGGAACTGAACTGGGACAAGGTCGTGTGACTTGTTTCCCTTTGTCAGATGAATGATGTCGGGAGCTCAAACCACTCTGGAGGAATCTCTATAGGAGCCATTCAATTTGTCCTGTGTTAGAGGTTAGATGCGATAGATGAGATCAAACAGAATACCAAGGATTTCCTTCGAAAGGTCCAGGTGTGCTGGCCTTGTTTTCCAGATTTCCTGACATCCAAGGATCTTGGAGAAGTACCCGCAAGGGAGGCTGTTGTCTATCAAATCGATGCTGCTTGTGACGTGCGAACCGGGCTGGAAGCACAAGATTTTACCAGAATTTGCCCGAAGAGCTGTGCAAGTGTACAGGTCAAGACTAGCTGGAAACACTTCAACTGTGCCTTTGGACCATTTCAAATAATCGGATGATTATTTGTTGGCCAGCCAGCATTGTGCTCATGGTGCCCGTGGTGCCCATGGATTTCATGCTTCAATTTCCCTGAGTCAGGTCAAACACTCGCAAGACTGGAGGGTTGGCAAATGCCATGGCGGACAAGAGCGCTAGCTTTCACAAAGTTTTCACTTCTACGCACGAAGCGATTGAGTTTTTGGCGGACAGCCGGTTGAGCTGCGCACGGGGGCCTCATCAGCTTCCGCTGATCACCTCCGAGGCCAGGCCAGCGCCGCATGTCCCATGTCACAAGTGCATTGGTGGCTCTTTTTCAGTGTGCTGGTTGTGTCGGGCCGTGCCGCCCTGCCGCCCTGACGCCCTGCATATCTGCATTTCATTGTGCCACCTTGTGCCAGGCCAGAGTTGAACTGCCCGTCCCCCCGGCCACACATACATGAACCTGTTGCAGTGGGTATCGCGAATGCTTTGGCCATTGGATGCCGGATGCCAGGCGAGGCTGCAAAAGTTTGAGAGCGAGTAGAACGTGATGTACGCGCTTGGGTGAAGAATGATTTGGCTGTTGGCCACCCGTGCCAATGCCTCAAATTGGTTCTGAGTTTGGACCAGAGTCCTTGAACTCCAAACATGTGCTGAAAAGGGCTGTGCAATGCTGTGCATGACTCTGCGTTTGTGCCAGGATTGTCATAATGTATGTATCGAGGCTGCGTAGATGTTGTCGGGAGGGCACCGATCATTTTGGCTTCCACACTCATCACTGCCCCTGCCACATGAGGGCAAGCTTGTATGAAGTAGTGACAAGCGACAAGTCCCCTCAAAAAGGTGCAGGTCTGACGGAGATTGGTGTGCTCAGTGCTGGAAGGGTGCTGTAGTCACTAACAGTATCTAACAGTGGCTGGGCGTTTCTCTGTGTTTGTTTGGTTGTTTTTGTTGTTCTGGTCATGTTCTGGTTGTTGTTGTTTTTAATTTTTGTTTCAGGTATATACAGTATCCGTTTCGGTGAGACAATCTGCCACTTTATCTGGACCTTCATCAATCCAAGCTTGGAACTGTTTCATCGGATCTTCACTTGGATCCATACATTTCTGCATCATCCGCTTATTGCCATTCTGTTGACTTGGCCATGCTGCCACATGTGACTCGGATTTGTTGAACAGTTCACTTGTGATGAACAGGTACAGCTCTCACATTGGTTGCAGGTACTGGACATGCAAGCACTTGTTAGTTGGACACATTGCTACTACATCCTTGTCTCTGGCTTTTGGGGACCAACGTTCAATCTCTTGGCAGATGGCAGACGGATGTTCAAAGCTTGGCTGGCAAACAAATCTTTATTTTTCTAGAAGGCAGTTTTAAGTCAGAGACATGGTGGTGATTGTTTTTTTGATATGCGCGTAAGTATCGGAGATTCGTAGGCAGTGACCCAAGATTTGCCTCGCGCCTGGCGACGTCCAATCAAGACGACCGAATGATCTCTCACAAGCATTTGATCTTCGCTGCAGTTGAACGCAACACATTTTTTTTGCTGCGTATGTCTAACTCAGACATGGCTGTAGGAGAAAACGCAAGCAGATACACTTAGGCTTTGAACGCTGTCAATTCCTAAGTACTGAGCCAACACACAAAAGTGGCAACAACGGCTTTGAACATGCCATGAAGAAGATTCAATCGCAATAGACGCACGTGCCAAGTTGCACCTCAATGTGAGACGATGCGCAATTTCGTTTAACCCCTGTGTATGTGTGGGTGTGTGTGCGCGTCGCAATTTGTTTTTTTGATTGAAGATGCCATTTGCAGGATGTGGGGGTGCAAAAGACTTGCTGTGAATAAGTGTGAATCCACCAGTCTTCACGCTTGTCACGAATGCAAAACTCCCCGCCGTTTGCTTCAACCCACCAGGTGTAGTGACTTTCATGGCAGAGCAAGAATTGGGTTAGCAAGGGAATCTCTTTTGATCACATGAACATCGAAAGTGAAAAGGTATTGGCAGCTTTGGACATTTTTCAGAGAAGTTTAGGGCCATGGCGGTGGTGGTGTCTCCTCCTGCTTCGCAGCCACCGGAGCTACATACCACATTTTCAACGTTGTTCACCACTTCAAATGAAGAAAAGCCGGATCAGCATTATCCGACCAATGCGGAGCTTTTGCAGGCTGAAAGAGCTGGCTGCTGAAGTTTTAAGCACTCAGAAACTGTTGGCGCCTTCATTCTATGCTTTGTGTTCTGTTCTCCACACGTGTTCGACATGAAGCAATATGTTCGCAATGACCATCTGAAAGAATAAGCAAGGAACCCTGCACCCGCAGTCATGTTGGGTTCAGGGATCCCGGCTCCACCTTCCTGTCACAAAGCATGTAAAGCCCTGGCATGCCATGAAACTATTTTGAATACAACTACCTTCGTTGAATTCAGGAACTGTTTTCGTCGTATTCAGAAACTAGTTCTCCGAAACTATGCGCATCATTTGATGTGTTCTCCAGCACAAAGGGGGCGGGGCAGGGGTGATAAACTTAGGTGGGTAGGTGCGTGGACATTTGATGTCACGAAAGGTAGCTTCAGCTACCAGAGTTCTCCTTGCTTTAGCAAACATGTACTACAATCTGGAGTTGGATTATGCATTGAGTTTGGTTTTTCAAGAAGGGTCTCTGTTCGACAGGGTGCCCCCCCTCCCTGGATCAAATCCCCCCTGCGCCGTCGCGGTTTGGGTGCAAATCTTGAGATGTTTGGACAATTCTTGAGGCATGTTTCTTTGCATAGTGTGCCCCGCTCGAACTTGAATTCGAACTCAAATTAGAACTCGAACTCGAACAGTTAGAGCTCAACCTTGCAGGCCTCAAACTCGAATTCGGACTCGAACTCGAATTCGAGCTGAAACTATAGTAGGTGAGTGATGTTCCGGATATTCGGGTATCGCTTCTTAGATTTTCTCTAGTTGTGGCTGCGGTCTTCACTTCTTTAGGGTTTCTTTGGCTTTGAGACGGTGTGGGGCTTCACTACTTTGGGCTTGTCTTGCTTGGGCTTCATTTCTTTGGGGTTTCTTTGGCTTGTCTTGCCGGGGCTTCGCTGGGTTTGCGGGTCTCACTTCGTTAGGGTTTCTTCAGGCTTGGCTTCGCGCTTCACTTCTTTAGGGATTCTTTGGCTTGTGGGCTTAGGGCTTCACTTCTTTGGGGTTTCTTTTGGTTGGGCTTCTAGGGCTTCATGTCTTTAGTCTTTACATGTCTTTATCGTGTCTTTGGGTGTGGCATCCGAACTTTGCTACTTTAGGTTTTTGGGGGCTCGGCTGGCGAGTTCAGGGTTGCTCTGGGCTTGGCTTGCGGGTTTACTTGATCAGGGTCTCTGTGGCTGAGGGCTTCACTTCTATAGGATTTGTTTGGGTGTGGCTGGTTCGCTTCTTTCATGGCCGTCTCTTGTTTAGGGTTTGTTGGGGTGGGCTGTGGGGTGTTCGGGTCTGATTTCTTTCGGGTTCCTTTAGGCTTGGCTGAGGGCTTGAGTTCTTCAGGGTTTCTTTGGCGTAGGGCTTCACTACTTAGAGTTTCCTTGGGCTTGTCTGGCTTGGGGTTCGCTGCGCTTGCAGGATTTTGCGGGTCTCACTTCTTTATGGTTTCTGCAGGCTCGGCTTAGCGCTTCACTTCTTTAGGGTTTCTCTGGCCTTGTCTTGCTTGGGCTTTGGGCTTCACTACTTTAGGGTTTCTTTGGGCTTGTCTTGCTGGGGCTGAGGGCTTCACTTCTTTAGGATTTGGTTGGGTATGACCTGCAGCCTCTGGTCTGTTTCTTTGGGAATTGCATGCAGGGTCACAGGTTGACATGAGCCACCGCCAAACCACGCGCAATGCCGAATTCAAAAAGAAGCGCTCGTGCCTCTGGGCTCCCCCTTGCGATCCTCTCTCCTTTCCCCTCCCGCCCATTTGCTAAATTTCATTCACCCCCACGGGTGGGGTGGGGTGGGCAGTGGGGGGGCATTAGTTGAACTTAGGTGGATAGTTGCGTGGACAGTTGATTGACGTGTTCTCTAGCGTGAAGGGGTGGGGTGGGGTCAGAGTGGCAGCGTAAAGTGGACCTGATCGAACCGATTGGACGCGCTGGATGTTTTCCTCAGTGGCGGAAAGTGTGATACAAGATGGTACAAGGGAAGATACTACAGACAGACTTTAGAAGGTCTTGGGGCATCAACAGTTACTCCACTGTAAAGATGTAATTACATTGCGTAGGGGCACAACCGAGATACATCATTACAAACAGAGGCAAATTTCCTTCATATCGGTTCATGCACGCGCAGGTTCAAAAGTCGAATTAGAATGGTCGCGGCCTCGTGAGACACTCGCAAAGTGCAAAGTAGCCATGATTGTGCTCACATGCCATGGACTGTATACAGTTCAAACGGCTATCTAATCTATCACAGATATAGAATATCGACATGCGCACGCGTGGACTTCTGCGCAGAGAGAGAGGCTTTCGTGGATCTAAGTTTCGGAAAACGTTTGTATAGTTTCCGAATATCAGTTTCCCGAATATCCTGTGTTTTTCAAACGCAACCGTCGCAGTTCCGAATACAGCCGTCCAGTTTCCAAAGACAAAGCCGTCCAATTTCCGAATACAATCGTCCAGTTTCCGCGTGCAGCCGTGACCCAGCATCAATGGTCATGCTTCATACCAATTTTGGCGTTGAACAACTTTCGGTTCAAGATCTTGACCCGACGCGGACGCGAACCTATTGGTTTTGGGTCCTGGGTATCCCGCCCCAGATGGCTCCCCAAGTTCCCGTATAAAATCCACGTTCAATGTGACATTGAATCTTGTCATGTTTTGTGGACAGGCCATTTGCCAGTTTCACGATTCCATCTCTGCCCACTTGGAGAAGTTGAGCGATTGTGGCTGGGCATTATTTGGTAAAACCGTTTCGTTTTTTTGGCTGAGGACGCATAGCATGCTTGAACCATCCAGAGAATATGCATAGAGCCCTCGGCATTGCGCATTTTGTTCCCGACATGCTGCTATGTCACAAGCATAATTATACATGAGTTGAAGGTACAAGGTTAATTCGGTAAACCGCCCTATGTTGAAGTGCCCGCGACACCGATCGTGAGCACCTGTCCCTTTCTTGAAAGGTGCGCAATCGATTCAGGGGCCTGCGAACCTCCGCGGGCAACGCAACTCTGATGCCTCAGTGTGCTCAGTGCGCTCGAACAACTCCGAACCGCCAGTACTACGCTCTGCTTCAAACTCTGCGAAGAAGTGCCAGGCCGGGTGAAGTGACAAGTGGAGCGGATAAATAGGACGTATCTCTGATTATAGGTTCTTTCATGTCAGCAAACTTCCTGGTTGAAGCATCTGCGACACAACAACAAACCGTCTCCATAGGTCCCGAACATACAGTGTTTCTCAGCACGCGCACGAATCAGGCATCGGCCTGCATTTTCGCGTTGCTTGGTTTCTCAGGTGTTGTGCCACTCTTCTTTCAGAAAGATCCGTTCTGGAAACCAACAGGACAACATTTAATCTACTGTATATTTTACGATTTTTACTATGTAATGTTTTTATAACATTATATATTACACTTTCCAAGGCTGACTTTGTCAATGCTGGTGGCTTGCAGTTTCCATGATGTTTTCTCTTGGAGGTTGAGACTGGTCCTCTCACGAGACGGCGGGCACCCGGCCACCCTGACACCCGAGCACACTCACTTCCCCATATAAAGTTGCCACGATGATGATGATGATGATGATGATGAGGGCAGGTCATGCCCAATGACCTGAGCTAGTGCGGAATTCCCCCACCACATGGACAAGGAGTACCTGACGGTTCCGGACTTGGAGGTCCTGACGTACAGGTTCTTCGCCCAACTACCACGAGATCCCCCTCCTGAAGGTCCCTTTTTGGTCACGACCTTGATCTACCAGTTCTTGGCCTTTCTCACAGTGGAGACCTCTGTGGCTGCCTTTTTCATCCCGCTCCTTCTCCTGACCTTGGCCCACCTGTTTTGCACCTCGAGCAGGGGTATACGAGCTTGGCACTCACGCTGGCCATCCCTTGGTCCTTGCAGGAGCCTGGATACTCACCGGGGTCCCAAGTCCCCGGCCAGGGAACGAAGCTGGCAAGTGCTCTTCCTTGCTGTGGCGGTTTTCCTCCTGGGCATCGACATCATGAGCACGCTCAATCCCAATGCATCTCCCTGGAGGCCCGAGGGTTCTGACGCCGCCACGGGTGTCAGTGGAGCCCAACAATCGTATGTTTTGTCCACCTCCAAAGGGGCAAAGCTTAGTGGCACTGCAGACCCTCTCTCAACCGCCATGATGTACAACCACCGTCCAAAAAGAAAGCATTTCTTCGTGCTCTCAAGAGGGCTCAGCTCCACGGCATGACATGGTACAAGGGATGGCTCTACAGCGCATCCTTGCTGGGAACCACCCAGATTGAGGCGCCTCCCATGGGGCAAGTTGAGGTGATTCCTCCTACTCCACCCAAATCCGGCTCCAAGCTCAAGGCCAATCGATTCAGTGGTTTTTCCTGGAGCATAGGTGGCCTGAGTAATTACAAGCTGGACATACTGAAATCCTGGATGATCCCTCTTCAACTTGAAGTGTTGACGGTTCAGGACACTAGATGGGGTTTCAGTGGGGACTGGATGGACGACCACTTTGCTTACATTCACAGTGGCTCGACTGCCTTGTCTGGTGGTGTCCTTACCATCGTGCGTCGGTCCTTCTGCTCCTTGGAAAGAATCAGCTGGAGAGAGCTGAAAGAGGGAAGGGTGCTCTACATGCCCTCCTCCATTGACATTTTGAATGTCTACCAATTTGCCTGGAGCACTCAGGACTCACAATGCCTATCCAACAGAACAACATTTGTGATCACTTCCTCAAGGGTTCACCGAGCCGGAACGTGATTGTTTTGGCTGGAGACTGGAACACTGGACTGGATCAAACACCACACTGCGTGGGCCTCAATGATTTCTATATGAAATCAGGTCGACGCCGGGGCCCCCGTCACCCTGACTCTGGAGTTTTTCGAGACATCCTTCAACGGCATGGTCTCTTGGCCATCAACACCTGGGACACGATGTTAGGCCCCACGTTTTTGGGCAACAGAGGATCGCGTCTCGGATTGACTTCGTTCTGGTCAAGTACAAAACCAGTGCTTCACTAGCCGAACATCCAATATACTTGGATCAACTTCCTCGTCGGTTTGGACATTCCCGTGATCACATTCCCATCATGTACAACATCCCCTACAAGTGGAACTTTGCCACCGGCTTGTCAAGAAGTGCATCTGCTGCCAAACCTGGCCAGCTGACCTGAACGGGCATTTTGCAGTTCACCACCGTGACCTTTGGCAGGAGGCCGAACCCATGGAGTCACAATGTGCTGAGAGCTTTTTGGCTGCCGCTCCGGCAACCGCTGGTGTGCCTGTCAGCCCTACGAGAGGCTTCGAGAATCGGAGCTGGACAACCATTCATGTCCTTGCATCAGGCAGTTCATTTGCGTGCATTTGCTCTTGAGATGCTGCCAAAGGCAGAGAGCCCAAGACTCAACATTGGCTCTTCTGCTCGGATCCAAGTTTGGTTGAAGGCCCTTCGGGGCTGGCGGACCAGCCAAAATGGCTAAGGGTCCACGCCATCGCCGACGGCGAGCGTAGAGAAAAAAAAGAAAGATGATGATGATGGTGATGATGATGATGATGATGAGGATGACGATGACGATGACGATGATGATGACGATGAAGGGCTGCGAGTGGCTCAGGCGGGCCGTTCGTTCTCATGGCGTGGTGACCTCGTACCTCCTGATCCTGCACTCCTTCTTCCTGCTGCACGGCGGCCGCCGCCTGCTGCCGCTTGCGGCTGCTGGGGGCTGCTCTCCTGGTCCTGGCAGCGGCTGGCTGTCACCTGGCTTGGAGCACCTTGGTGTGGCAGGTGGGGTACGCGTTGACGTACCTGATCAGTTCTTCCAATTCCAGACATTGATTCTGGAGGTCACGAATCAGTTCCTTTGGACCTGTTTCATTTGTTTATGGCCACTCTTCTGGGTCCCAAACCGCAGAACAGCAGGAGCAACCGCCATACACTTGGACGTACCATACCTTGGTTTTGTACCTTCATTATCAACTTCCAGTTCAATATCCATGCTCCCTGCCGGCAGCCCGAGGGTTCCCTCCAAAACACCCTATCCAACCGCCCTTCGAGTTGGACGAAGTGAGATGGCCAGGACCCAACTCAGATCCCGGCGCTTCAAAAGAACGATCAACAAAGGGTGCTCAGGAAGAAGGCCTTCATTAAGGCAGTGAAACGTGCCACCATACACGGAATGACATGGTACCATGGCCAGTACCGCCTCTCAGCTTGGCATCAAAGCGCATGAGTGGACTGCAATTTCACCCACACCTACACAGACTTCCAAGTCGAGTTCAGTGGACAATCCGAGACCTCTCAATCGACGGCCCTCTGGACGGTTTCGACAAGGTAGATTGTCCTACTTCTCCTGGAACATTGGAGACATGTTCAGGGCCTGGCTTCACCAGCAACCTGTGGACTGTGCCTGTCTCCAGGACACGGGCTGGAACTTCACAGGTGAATGGCAGGACAACCATTTTGCCTATCTACACTCCGGAGCCACGAACCGTCGAGGTGGGCTACTCACGATGATCCGCCTGGGTTTTTGTTCTGTGGATAATATTGCTTGGTCCACCCCGCTGGAAAGTCGAATTCAGCATGTGCGCCTTTATATTCACACATACAGCATTGACCTCCTGAATATGTACCAACGCACTTGGAACCCTGCTGACACTGAAAGCGGTCCCGGACGTGCCGCGTTCTGGACTTGCATGCAAAACACTCTCAAGGCGTTGCCTCGACGAAGCTGTTGGATTTTTTGGGGAGACCTCAACACCAGTCTTCGTCATCAAGTTCATTGTGTTGGTCTCAGTGACTTTGCTACCACCCAGGGAAGGCTCAAGGGAACGAAACATCCTGATGCACACGTCTTACAACAGATGCTTCTGGACTTCTCTTTGGTTGCTCTCAACACCTGGAAACCGGAGCTGGGAGCAACATACAAAGGTCCTCGACAGGTTATGTCGAGAATCGACTTCATCCTGGTTCAACAACGAGAAGGCGACGCCCAGGCCAAACAGGTTAGCTACCTGAAGGATCTCCCGAAGATGATGGGACTGCATGATGGTCATCAACCCCTGTTGTGTGGCATCCCATGGAGACGGTTTTACAAACCTACCTCCAACAATGGTCTGACTCGTACCCAAATGTTGACCCTGCAGACTTACTGGGAAACCAACACGATGGACTGGCAACAGTTTGTTCATGCTCTTCGGAATGACATCCCAGCGGAGATCTCCAAAAGCTCAACGAAGTCCTTCTGCATGCGCGCCGTTCGTTCCGCCCATCCAGCGGACCAGCCCAGGAAGATCGTGTTCGCAAATGGCAATGGGCACTGTGCATTTGTCAATACAGCAAGATTTCATGCCCTACCTATGCTGAGAACGTTTCCACAGTTTGCATACCTCCCTGGCCGTGGTACTTGGGATGCCATTTGTCGAGTCTTCTCCCATGTTCAGGAAGTGGCCGCTATGGCTGATAGATGGCGCTACAATGCTAGTCGTCTCGACCTGCATGTTGCCGGGCATAGGCCCTTACTATTTGGAGGGTGCCAATTGTTCTTGGACCTCGCGCAAGCATTTGACCATATGTTCAGGACTTCCTTGTTGAAAGCTTTTGCATTGTTGCAGATCCCTCCACATGTGGCCAATGTACTCTTGCAGTGGCATGTTGACACCAAATACATCCTGACATACAAGGGCCAAAAATGTACCGTACCCACGTACAAAGGTGTGAGACAAGGCTGTCGCGGAGCACCCTTCTTTTGGGCCTCTTTTGTGGCCTTGATTCTCAATGAGGTGGCACGCATCACATCAATCGAGTGGATGCTATCCTCATGCACGTTTTGCGCCGATGATGGTCATCTTTGTTTCAAGTTCGCCAGCCTTGCTGAATTCCAATTTGGAATACAATGCATGGGAACAGTTCTTGATACTTTGACCCACTTTGGGATGACCGTCAACCTCGCCAAGTCTGCCGTCTTACTTGACCTGAAAGGCAAGCGCAAAAAGAAGGTGCAACAACTCTACATTCGACATCGATTGCAACAGCAGGTTCTTCAGATTGCAGGTACAAACAACACCTATGACATACCCCTCAAGGTCTCTCATGACTATTTGGGTGTGAAGATCAGCTACTCACAGACACATCTTTTGACTATGAGACACCGCTTGAATGCGTGCAATTTGAGATTCAATCAGCTGCTACCATGGTTCAAGAGGGGGAACCGGATCACCATGTCACAGAAACATGAGCTTTGGTACACGTGCCTGTTCCCGGTCTCCACGTATGGTATCGGTGCCATTGGGGTGACAGAAGGTACCTTGATCATGTTTCATACACAGTTGATGCGCCAACTTCGACAACTTGGAGGGGATCATTCCTACTTGACCCACAATTCTCATCGAGCATTCCTGAGCGCCCATGGACTTGAGCATCCAATCTGTGCTCTGCATTGCCGCTTGCTGTCCCAATTGACACGCTGGGAGGAGAGACAGAACACACTGCCACAGAATGACACCTTGCATGGCTCCAATGTCTTGCGTATAGCTCAATCAGTTGAACTTATCAACAATTGGCTGCAGGACTACATGACACAGCCCGAGGCCGAGATGCATCAACATCTTGCATAGGCTGGACTGGAGTGCAACATATGTGGTAAGATGTTCCAACAGCAACACACCTTCCGCCGTCATCTCGTACACGCACACGGCATTGCGGTTTTGCAGGGTCCAGAGTTGAACATTGCACGAGACACCATTGATGGACGCCCAATTTGTAGACACTGCGGTGTAGCCTGCATCAGTTGGCAAAACACGCGTCATCATATACAATCCAACTCATGTCCTGGTATGAACTGCACCAAGGCCCCGCCTCTGATCTTGCAGCAACACCGACGCCGGCTGCTGGACATCTATGATGCTGGTGACCTACAGCTGCTGAAAGAGGATGGGAACCTTTGCACCTTCCTCACCCACAGGTGCGTCCTTTGTGGTTACTGGGCCGCGCGCGCTCAACACATGAGCGCTCACGTTGGGAGGGAACATCCGGAAGCCTCGACCTACATCAATCAAGTTTTGCCCAATGTCACGCGCCAGAGTTTCCTCCCCCTGTGAACACTGCAAAAAGGACTTCAAGTCAAAGACCCATACATGTGCAGTTATGAAACAGTTGGGTCTGGCATTGGGAGACCGCAAATATCGCCACGATCATCCACAAGCACCGGATCCTGCAACGCTGGATGATCACCGGACCCAGGCGCAATATCAGCGCACTACTTGTGGATGCCAATTTGCCACGGCAGCAGGCCTACATCAACACTTGAGCCTGCAACACCCACACACCACGGTCCAACAGACCTTCCAGCCTCTCCACGATCAGGTCCCGGGAGAATTGAGGTGCAGTCATTGTGACACTTCATTTCAGACCTTGAATGCACTGAAGCCTCACATCGCTGGAAATCAATGTGACACCTTCATCCAGGACACTGCCGAGGTGCCTTTTCTCTGGCACCATCCTGTGATCTTGGCTGGACTCAGTGGTGGGACCTTCGATCATTTGATGGGGTATAAAAGTCTGGTTCGAAGATTGGGTCTCCGCTGTGGCATATGTGGACACCTCTCCCAAAGATCCACCTCACTCCTCCTGAGACACTTGGGCAGCATGGTGACCGTTGGACCAAATTGACCAAGTATGCCGAGTGGCCTCCTGGTGGACCACATGTGTGTACACTATTTTCCCACCTGGCCTTGTTTGTGCACCATGATCTCCACAAGTTCCGCCACTCGGACCAAGACACCACTCTCACTCAGGCCCTGAAGTTGGACTTGACGGTCCTATGCCCTTCGTTGCATCTCCTGTATCCGGAGCTGGATGAATGGCTGGTCAAAGGAGAGCTCTCGAGACTCATCAGCATTACAGATTTGTGTGCCGCTCTTGGGCAGTGCTGTGCGTTATGTGGTCGATCTGTTGGGGCTCACGATATGTACCTACATCTTCGCCATCAACATCCCAAAGACTGCGCCAGAGGGGCACTGTACTATAGATACCTTGTGGACGTGACACCAAACTTACATCGGCGCTCTGTTTGCAATCTCCATCTCACTGCAGCCCACGAGTGCCCGATCTTGCTTCAACTAGCAGGCCTGCTTTGTCGCCTTCATCATGGACATCGAGGACCAGGATCACAATCAGTTCCAACAGATGTGGGGGGTGCTCAAGACCCTGGCGTCCACCACGGAAGAGCCAGACGCCTCCCAGCCCCAATCCAAACGACAGAAGGCCGACCATCCGGCAGTCAAAGGAAAGGGAAAAGGCAAAGCTCGCCGATCCACTCAGCAGACCAGTCGACCGGACGACTTGAGGCAGATCGTCCAAACCCTGGCTCGACTATCACTCCGACACGAAGATGCTTTGAGAGGCCTGGCCATGGAGCAGGACTACATGCTTTTTTTGAGCCTCGGTCCCGGGAGCATCAACTCCTGACCAGAGTCAGGAAGCTCCAGAACGCTCGACCAGAAGACGACTTGGTCCAGACCTTGATCAAGTTCAACTATCTCACGCAGGGCGAGAACAGCAACGACCCCAGATTCTCCTACCTTCAGTGGAACCCCACTCAGAAGGCAATGGAGAAAGATCCGGACCGCGCAGCATTGACCATGCAACATGTGGCAACTCAAATCACCAAGATCCTGACACTGTTGCAGCAGCAATCTCTGATCATACGATTTGGAGCTCTGCGCCCCAATGCACAGATCAAGCAGAACGTGCACAAGGAGCCCACCTCGACGCCTCAGGTGGTTCCATGGCGGCTCTCCCTTGCCCTGACCCACCGGCACTCAGCAGAGACGCGCTCGACCTGGCAGGAGCTGACCCACTCGGGAGTTTGGCAACGAGACAGGCCACACTACAGAGGACTCCACTGGCCATGTGATCACTGATGATGGCTTGTATCTCAGGGGGTTGTGCAATCCTCAGAACTGCTGCTACATGAACGCAACGGTTCAAGGATGGCTTTGGGGTTCCATCCAGACTGGTCCCTTGCAGGATAGTCAATGGGAGATTTTGCCAGAAGATGCTCACAGACTCTCCAGCTGAGCCGCTGCTTCTCTGGTCCAATGGACCTTGGCTGACACTTCTTCAAACATGGGAAAAGCCGTTCGAACAGCATGACCTGGTTGACTTTGTACATTTCTTGCTGTCACTTGTATCACCGTGCTTTGTTAGCAATCTCTGGGAGGCCAGAGTTGATGCTGATGCCCAGGTGCGCACGGTGGACAGCGGATCTCACCATTGCCCTGTGAGGCTCTACCTCTGCGATGGCTCAAAAAGGGATGGCGTGGAGCTTCAGGATTTGATCACCACATGGAGCCTTGAATCCTACGGACTCCAAGCCACCGATCGATTCGACCAAGCCGGACACAAATGCTTCCAGAAGCTGGTTTGGACTTCCCCCAATTTTCACCCCGTACTTCACTGGTGCCACCATGGAGGTTGACAAGGTTCCTTTTGAGGTGACGGCCGTTTCATTCCATCTGGGCGAGGACTCAACTTCTGGACACTACAGAACAGCATTATGAGATGGGGATGTATGGTACCTGTTGGATGTTGCTGAGTCCCCGGCTGCCACCCCCGTGTTGCCTGACAAAGTACTGAGGAATTGCTGCTTGCTTTGGCTGAATAGCAAAAATGGTGGGGCCATGATGATCGACAAGGAGCCGGACCTGGCTGGCTGGTTCCTTGGCGCTCCTGAGCCTTACCAAATGATGACCGACCTTCAGCGCGCCTTCTCCACTGGTCGTCCCTGGCAGGCCACTTGGCTTTCGTCGATCGATAGCTTAGATGTTGGTTTTCTTTTGGAATGGCCGGACGTTTGCCGCTACTTGGTCTTCAATTGCGCGCTGTGCGGCGCGCGCCCTCCCTGCCTGCTGGACCACCTCCGTGTGCACCATGCGGAATGGACTGCCGCCGCTGAGCAGCTGACTGAGGAGATGATGCAGCAATTCATGATGCGAGCCAAACCTGGCCGCATTTGCTCATGTCACCCGTATCATGTACGGAATGAGCCGATCGATGAGCATGTTTGTCCGTGCATGCTCAATTTTGGTATGCTCAACAGGTTTCTTCGAGCAGCGCAGGCAGTGAGGGCTCGGGACTGTGGTTTCCAGCTCGCACTGCAGCTCGAACGTTCGTTCAACTGACCCTACGGGGGAAGTGCTGGCCCGGTTCACCTAAGGGGTCAACGCCACCTCACGCACCTGAGGGCGTGGAGAAAGAAAGAAAGATGATGATGATGATGATGATGCTCATGATGAAGCTGAGGGTCGCGGCGACGGTGGTGATGATAGTATCTTGAAGGCGACGGCGCTGCTGACGATGATGGAAGTTTCTGACCCTGACAGTTAAGAAACTCACACTCCAAACTTCCCAGCAGTTGCAATTGCGGTTCCTGGTGAGAACGCTATGTGCTGGAGAATCTTGCCGCGTTGGGGCCGGTTCTCAACTTCAATCTATTCTGGCAGGCTTCCCGAATCAACTTTCTCCTGTGAACAAGGGGTGCTTTATTGTCATTGTGTTTTCAAAACAGGTGGCAAAAACCCCAAGATGTCTATGGAGTTGCCACGATGATGATGATGACGATGACGATGACGATGACGATGACGACGAGGACGATGACGATGACGATGAGGATGAGGATGAGGATGATGATGATGATGAGGATGAGGATGAAGATGAGGATGAGGATGCTGATGTTGATGCTGATGCTGGCGCCGCCGCCGACGATGATGATGACCACGACGATGATCATGATGGCGAAATAGCTAACTGGCACAGTCGCAATCCACGGTCACACGGACGCGTGATGTTGATGAACAGGCTAATACGTAGTTGGTGACGATGATGGTGAGTATGATTCTGACCCTGGCAGTCAAGAATCGCACGCTCGATATAGGAGATTGAAGCATCTTGGGTGCTCAAGATGATGGCTCTTCGGTGCTCGCTTCTGCATTGTTATGGAGGGTCTAGAGTGTGACGAAGAACAGCAATCTACCACCTGGTCGGAGTACTGAAAGACTCCCTAGTTGATTGAGTAGATGGTAGAGGCCCAAGTCTTAAGTCAATCTCAAGGGCAGCTCTCCAGCTACCTAACTCGAGACCGGTCCTCTCACGACCCAGCACCCGGGCACATGCAAACCGGGCACAGGCCGGTTCTCCGGGCACTCGGGCACCCGGGCACGTCTCCTGAGAAGACCTTACTCCGGAGGTTGTAGAGCCCCTGTCACTTCCAGAGCCCTCCTCCTCTCCACGCCACTGGCGGACTGTCGCTAAGCAATGCCATTGTTGATTCGATATGTAACTTTTGAAGACACCGACGCGCGCACATGTTGTCCTTGTTCGGGTCCCCAAGAACTTTGCTCTTGGGGTTATCACTCAAGAAGGAGAATCAAAAGGCTGTCCACGTAGGGCTGCCTGCTACTGGGCAAATGTTGCCACTTGGTCTGCTATTTTGCTTGCAGCTTGACCACAGGGTGCGTGTTCTGCAATGTCCGGTTTTTGCTGCGTTTTCCCAAACGTGTGTCCGGTTGGTGTGGTGGAAGGAGCTCGCCAATTCCCTGCAGTAACTTCGTTGGCTTGTCTACACTTAGAAACTTGAGTCTGGGCGGTTTGGAAAAATATCAAAAGTGGTTTTGGGAGAAGCTCGCCGTTCCAATCCAAACAACCTCGCAGCTCCTCTAACAGATGAAACATATTGTTGGATATATATATATATAATGCCAATAGTCAGAACAGGCAGCAGGAAGGACTTGTGAGTGACTGATAGATTCTGTCGCACAGTGTCCAAATTGAATCAAATTGGATGATTGTGCTGGTGTGAGGCCAGTTCCAGCGTTGCAATGCAAGCCTTGCAGATGGACATCTCCAATCTGGTTCCAGTACGGACGGCAAGGCGTCGAGAGTCGTTAGGCTCGTCAGTTACAGAATCTTGGGCTATGGGGCGGCTGAAAGAGAAGAAAGACAAGCAGGTGAAACTAAAAGATCCGGAGGACCAGGTTTCATTGAAGTGTGACACTTCAACAGTAACAAGCTTGAACCTTGGCCTGTTGAAAAATCCATTTGGATCAATGTTTGTTGTTTTTTCAATTGGTGATTTCCAGGATAGTCCTTCACCTTCACTACGTGTGCTGCCAGTTCCTGGGGTTCCTGACTTGAAGAAAGCAAGAGACCTGATTGAAGATCCAGCAAAAGCACCTGCTGAGACCCCTTTGGAGTGTGCCGAAAAGAATCTTAGCATTCCACGCATCAGCACCGATGATGCAATGCTAGGGAGGGGAAGCAATGAAAAAACTCTTTGCCTCGACCGGGAGGCGAGCCGGGGTAGTGAGAGAGGGACTGGCTTACCATTTGCGGTTCAAAGATCCAGTTCCCAGCCAAGAGCTGGGAGGGAAGATTCGCAGAGCTCTGGGCGAGAGAGTTTGCAAAGATCTCGAAGGGCGAGTTTCGATTTGCAGCGAGCAGTGTCGAAGGCAAATATTACTGAGGTCTTCAAAGTAAGAGAGATGGAACTGACAGCAAACTTGACTCCCAAAGGAGTTATGCCTCACAAAAGTGATGAAATCCTCATTGAGCGGAGCAATGAAGACGATGATGCCTTCGACACGGTCCATGAAAGGACACCATCCTGGTGGTTGAGGCTTAGATTTCTGGACACCTTTGTTTCATGTCACTTGTCGAAGGCATTGGGCTTGGTCTCTTTGTTCAGGGAGGGACCTTGCTTGCTATGTCGCAACTGGGCCTCGCGGCTGTATCATTGGTTGCTGCTCTCCTACCTTCTATACGGTGTTCTGAACTTGACTTATCAGTTGAGCATTTGCCATGATCAAGCTAATGAATGCTCCGGTGCCTGGCCCCCTTTAGCAGTAGATTTGTTCCTTCTTTTGGGTGCTTGCATGGTGTTGATGAGCTTGGGTGGATTCTTGAGATACAAGGACGGGAAATTCAGATCTCCAACTTGTTCAATTTGCTCGTTCCTTTTTTAAACATCCTGCACTTTAGCTAGAGCGTTGCTCGGACTAGCTTGAGAAACTTCGGTTGATGATCTCACAGGAGACCACTACTTTGGTGGCGCAGAGCGCAGAAGAGCTCTCTTCTTATTGTCAGCAGAACATGCTGGACGATGCCTGGAAGATTTGGAGCTCTTCTGAAGCTCTGCAGAAATTGTTCTTTGCATGATTATCTGCCTGTATCTTGCTTAGTGTAGTAGAGTACGCCACTTGCCCTGGTTGAAATTTCAGAAGCGAACCTGCAGGGGTTTCCTGCAGCTTGAAGCCGAAACACGGCGAGGTAGTCTTTGGCCGAGCGGGCGCGAGGTTACACACATTACTTGCCTATAGTATAAACATATGCAGCAAGATATTTCAGTTTTCCTTGAGGCCTTGACACCTTTGCTTCCTTTCTAGTGATACATAGGAATTTTGGGCATGCCATGCAATATGTTGCTTCACCAAGCGGAGATGCCCTTGCAGTTGATGTTACTGCGGCTTTGCAATGTGTGATTGTCAGAGCGGTAATGAGGTGATTGTGTGATGTACTCGGTACTCCTTGCTGGTGCAGTGCAACCTGTTCTGCGGTGATGTGTTGTGCGGCGAACCGTGATGTGGTCATTTGTAATTTTTTATTCTAATTAAAGTCTAAGTCTAATTAACAACTTATATAATTCTAATGGCTTCTTGTTACTACTAGTAAGGCGCTTGTTCCTAGTAGCGATGCCCTTGTTTCTAATAGCTTCTTGTTCCTAGTAGTAAGGCCCTTGCTCCTAGTAGCGATGCACCTGTTCCTAGTAGCTTATTGTTTCTACTAGCTTATCTATGAATGTGCAAGAGTTTCGAGTGCAATGTCAGCATGCCATTGTTGCCTGAAACAACCATAACGATTTCCAAAGTGGTCCACAGAACCCTGGCGCAACATGAATCTCTCGCACATCAAAATAGTGCTCTATATGTTTCTTACAAGAAGGGCCGGGCCTGTGCCACAAGTTGTGCGCGGTCGGCATAGTCACGCACAACAACAGTGCCATCCCTGCGCATCTCTGTGGATACTTTCTATCTATTTATTTGCGTTGTAGAAACGAAACCATGTGGGCTAGTGCAATAAGCCTGCCCCTCAGCACTACCAATCCATCGCTGGTCCAGAGAACGATAACGGTACAAAAACACGATAACGAGCTTATACATGTACATGTTCATGAACCCTGAAGATGGCAACCTGCACAGGCCTCCACAACGAGAACAACATGTGAAAAAACATGCGAACGCTTGGGAGGATACCCACATGACCGGTTTGAGCATATCACCTTTGGTTCAAAATTGAAAGGACATGAATGCAACATGAAAGGACAATGAAAGGACATGAATGCAAAATGAAAGGAACATGAAAGGAAATGAATGCGAAATGAAAGGAAATGAAAGGAACAGATGACATTTGTTGACTTTCGACCAAGGATGCTTTCACACCGACAGAAAGCTGGAAAATTGACATTTCTAGTGCAGAGAGCCCACCGCCTGAGACAACGATAACGATAACATACTTCGGGACATTGCAAATGATACGGTCTTTGTACACTACCCCATGTGCCCAAGTGGCGCCACACGCGCATGTATCCTCGTATCCGTGCGCTATTCTATTGCCTTCGTAAGTTGGAAGCGTGTTATTTGTTGTTGACTAGACTTCCTTGGATGATATGCAAGGTCAGTATGCCGGAAACTGGACAATGCGCACATTTTGCTACAGTCTCTGCAGATCAAACTCCTCACATGCGCTGAATGACAGAAGCAATCGCAGTGTATTCGTAGTTTACTGTACAAAGATCAGATCAGGTTTGGGATGTAGTGCTTTCTGTGGGTGTCCCAAATGATCTGAGGATGCCCTGTCTGCGCTATGTGTGTGGTTTATGCTCTTGTTTGGTCGATTTGGCCTCTACGTGTATCGTGGGGGAGGCGATGCTGATGCACTCGACCTGAGCGTTCTGTCCTTTGGATTGACCTATGCCATCAGCACCGGTGTCTTGGTAGTCGCCTGCTTCTGGCAGGTTCGGACCTCTCATGCAATGCTTTTGATCGTGAATAGCTGGAGCGCCTCTTTGTTGCAGGGTGATGCTTCGTGCATGGAATCCAAGGACCAGGGTGTGATGAAAAAGTGATGCTTTACATGGAAGAACTAGCTCCTAGGTGTTGTACCCGCAACAGTCGGAAAATTTCATCTGTTTAGAAACAGGCATTTGCTAACCACACCATCATCCACTGTTACTGGTAATTGGATAGACCTATTGCTAAGACATATTGTTTGACTATACGTGATGTGTATTATGCCAATTACTTTGGGTTTCAAACACAAGGCAAGTTGGCGCCGGGTGAGTGGGCTCTTCCGCAAGACCTCTCGGACTTTTGAGCGGTGCTTTGCAGCACTCGGCTTCATCATCGTGATGTTGGTCCTCGCTGCCCTCTATGACCTCATCCAAGGAAGAGGACAAGAATTGCTAGCCTCGGTCTCGTTGGCCTTAGTCATACCAGGTGAGAACAGCCTAACAAGGGATGCCTGTGTTTCACCACTTCATGGGCATGCGCGTGTTGCATACTGTATCTAGTCAAGGACGAAGGGTTTGGGTCAAGAAACACTGGAGGGGGTGCGCAGGCGTGTTGTGGACGCATGCTTCCACCACGACGGCATGCAATCGATTGCCTTCTTTGGTGACCCTCATTGAAGCAGACGATGAGGAAGAGGACAGGGAATACATGGGCTTGGCGCTGTATTTGTCCTTGAGTGAGTGTGGCTTTTTTGTATCTTGGATTTGGAATCTAAATGTTCAAAGTTTGGCCCAACATTTTCAGGCGTGTGGTTTCTTGCAACTAATTTTGCAATGCTTCCTTCTCAAGTTGCCCAAATGAGGTTTGGGATACATGCGTGACACTGAGCTTGGTGCAGAAGTTCCTCTACTTCACGGCAGCGATTGCTGGAACCATCGGGTTCCAAACGGGAGCATTGAATTTCCAAAGCAGAGGCATACCAATCGATTGATAGAATTTACACGGCTATACGGTTACGTATGTGACCTCTTCTGAGGCGCCCACCTGAACTTGGACCCAAGAGCTCCAACTTTAACCGCGCGAATGGACCTGAAGCAGGAAAGATCTGAATTTGGTCCACTCGTTGCACACTGTTGGAGAGTTTCAAACGCAGGTGGAGCAAATGTTCTCCGCTTTTGACTTCTCATTTTACTTGTGTCAGGTGTTTTTCTCGGTGTCTCAAATGAGATCACCTTTCCTGACGCACGTTTTTCCATTGTGAAATTGTCATCCTCCTGGCCCAACTCACGTGACACTAAAACCCTGTTCCAATTATATCGAACCCAAGACATACACAGCCCCTGTCTCTTTAGATTAGATTAGATCCTTCACAGAGCCTTGAAGGAGCTATCCATTGAAAGAGATTGTACTTGAAACGCTTCTTTTCTGAACAATTGGCACGCGATGAAGCGTGACAACCAATGAACTCACCAGCACGAAACTAGCGATCTCTTCAAGCATCCACCCATCAAGCGACGGAGGTTGAGCAATTGTGATAATTGCTGCAAAATAGCAGCGCAACCAGTGCGGCAAGAGCAAACCAACAGAGACTTTCAAGTCAACAAGAAGTTCGCCAATACAGTTAGGCACCTTATTAGGAGAGAGGGCAAAAAGGAGCAACCCAACGCGGCTAGCAAACCCTTGCTACAAGGTTGCGGAAGCGTGTCAATAATCTATAACATTCAATCAACCAACGCATTTGAGATGATGAAATACGATGAATGCATGAAATAGCCAACCGATTGAGACACTCTGCTAAGCGAGACAAGCGAGACAGGAACACCAAACAATTGCAATGGAGTAGGAACAAGTAGCTACTAGTAGCAAACGGCATCGCTACTAGGAGCAAAGAAGCTACTAGGGGCTCCTGGCCGTACTACTAGGATCAAGAAGCTACTAGTAACAAATTGCAATGGAGTAGCCAAAAAATCAGTCATGAAAGCACACCAACCAACTGAGACTATCAGACCTGCTGATCCAGCACAAGCCAGCTAAGCAAAAGCCAAGCTTACTGAGGTAACTTGCCAAGCAACTAGTCAAGTAAGCAATACAACCAAGAGTCAGCCCAGCGATTTGCCGGCCAACCAACCAAACTTGCCACATCCAGCGCCTCCGATACCACACCTTGCTTTGATGGCAACGGCATCAGCCCAGAGGATGACTTTCGGTGATTCAGCTAACTGGCTGGAAATATGAGTTCGATTATGTAGAAAAGACATGGTCAAGATTTTCCTCTACTTATTGCGACATACATACTAGACCAACTCACATTAAGATCTCACATTTTCTTGTTGTTTAGCCAATTTGACCATAGCTATTCGATCCCTTCAGTGACGTGAACTGAGGCAGAAAAGGTTGCCAGCTTTGTTCGCTTGAAAGCACCTTGCCTTGGCCGTAGTTGTGGGCGCGTCTCCCCAAACGCCATTCCCAGAAATTCATAGAAAGAGGTTGAAGGTGTAGCTACAGTAGAATTTCTAGGGTCCCCTTACAGAAATGTTAGACATTTTTCTTTTTGATTCATGGTCCATGGTTAAAACTGACAGGCTTCGCCAACCGGCGATGCCCTTGGGTACGCACATGTCCTGGTGCTAGAAATGTTGGCTGCAAACTGACATTTTCAACATCATCAGGACGTATGTATACATTTACTTAAAACCAAAAAACATCAACAACAGGGAACATGATGAAAAAATGGCTACTGTCACTGTAAAGCTTTGCCTCTAAAGAAAAAAGTATGCTAAGAGGAGAGGAAGTTTTGAGGTAGCATTTGTGTCGAGCACCATATCGAGCAGCATTGTTCATAAACTACATATATACATGTTGCAAAAACACAGTAATTTACAGTGTTTTGCGCCTCGTCATACATGAAAAGGATTTCGATCTTTCCTGCTGAGACTCTGCTGATGCTAATGATGCTCGACCAAAATTTCTCCTCAAAGTTGTTCTATATAGAGGTTTTGAAGCCATAAGCTTTACTGACCATGTTTGATCACTTTCCCTCAGTTTTTGACGTTCTTTGACGAAGCCACATGAGCCCTGGTGATGCCAAAAACCGCGGGTCGGCTGCAAGGGGCGTGTCTCCGTATAGCAAGCTAGTTTGCTAGGGACAACGGCACGGCATCGCCGGATAGGTCGGGGTGCCGCCAGGTGCCGCCGACCCCTTGAGTTTTTGATGCCTTTCCATAGCAAGTACTCTTCGTACTCTTAGCAGAATAGAAAATGGACTGTTTGTCGTTTGCAGGCCAGTTCATGTTTTTCTGCAAGAACACATCCGGAATTGATGCCTGCAACAGAGGATGCCTGAAACATAGAGTCCAAAAGCCTTTGTCAGGAAACCTTTGTCATAGAGAACGCAACAAACTTGTGGAATGTTGGAGGTCTCTTGTGGCAATCCCCGAAGTGTTGCTGCTTTTGGCCGAAGCTGTGCCCCTTCAAGCAAGTTTCTGTAAACACCATGTCCGACATCGAACATGTTCAAGTCTAAGTATTGTCTGACACTTTGAGTCTTCACAACCTCTCCACATCCCCCTGCAGAATTCCAATCTGCTCTCACGCTGTCACTATGTCACTATGGCTGAAGACAGCAACTGCACAGTTGGGGATCTTTTTCCTATACATCTGGCGTTGGGGTCCTCAATAGCAGCAAATTAAAGCAAACTTGCAGTGGTCAAAGGATTAGACTCGCAAGTGTAAGTCAGACTGTTTTTCTATCTTTTTTCAGCGCAGCATGCATCGGCATTTTTCCTGGGACCTCTCGTGCGACGAAATACTTTTGCACGGCAACGCAGTGTGGAAAGCTTCTACAATGCTGGGAGTCACCACTGCATTGTTTTCCGCTTGAGAATCCCGGAAACAGTTGAAGTCCAGCCATATGTCCGTGAAGAACCTTTTAAAGGTCTGGTATGAAGATCACGGCATCAGAAACAGCAGTGCTGGTAGCAGGCGTTAAGGTAGCAAAGAGTACATACGCAAACTCCGTAGCCTTTTTGGCATGTCCATGGATGCGTGGTTTCAATGTTGGACGCGATCAGAGAAATCCCAGGAGGACTGGAAGGATCGGGTCAATGAGTAAGACCAACATATATATTCTGAATCAGTCTGTCTCAACCATTCTCACGTTTCCAGCAGTGTTCCGGCAGTAAAGGAATCCTAACACCTAGGAACGATGGCGTTTTAAACACGTTCTGGCGTGGAGCCACTTTCATGTCAAAGACACCAGTGCCGTACGGTGCCGTCCCATGAGTCAAGACATGGAGCAAAAAGTTTACAGTAAACATTTTGTCCCCCTTTTGCACGACGACTCCTCCTTGAGGAGAAAGCCGATGTATGGCTCACTGAGCAGCTGAAGTTCACGCGGGAGCAGCCGCTCGTCAAGTGAAATTTCTCAAACAATATTGGGTCTCGGGTGGTGAGGTTCTTTGCCAAGTTGTATTTTGCTCGTTAAGTCCTTACATAGGCTCCATGCCATCCCTATGCGGTGCTGGGAGATTGTTTTGAGTGGTTCTCTCTACCACTCTGACTGCCCCCACATCCATTGAGATCAGGAGATGTCGCCAAGGCTTTTTGCCATGCCAATCAACATGTTGAAACATTTTGCAACACATCTTCAATCAATCATGACATTGTGCTTGCATCCCAAACAGCTTAGTTTTGGATTGCCCATTGTACTGAGTTTTCTCGCTTATGTTTTGTCATTCTTGGCATACTTCCCCATGCTACTTGCCTGGGTGGGGCCCAGGCTCGACAAGAAATCACGTCAGTGCGAGCAGCTGGATGCCGAGAACAAGCGCTTACAGGCAGAGCACAGATGAGCACGGATTCAATCAAGCTTTGGCCCAAAGGGCCTCCAGGATTGCCTCCCTCGGAAGCTGATGCCTACAGTTTTGGCCAAGCCAGGTACGCAACAATCAAGTATGTAAGCCTAAGCCGACCTCCGCACTCTTGAAAGAGAATTGGATTCCCTGCCCCAGGCCGCACACTTTGGCTGATTCTTTTTTTTTGGGTGATTTTCATAGCTGTCACACATACTATCTACTATATAACGCTACGGAATGCCGCAGAGGGCGCACCTCGAGGTTTGCCCTGTGGCAAGACGCGAAGATGCGATTTGGCGCAGTGGAGTCACATGGAAGCGAACATGCGAAAAAGGTGAGCAGCGGCAGAGCAAAGGCTGAACACAGGTGAGCAACAGGACAGGTCCCGACCAAGATGCAAAGGTGTGGGCATCAGGTCGGCAACGGTGTGTAGCATAGCTTCCAAAGCGTTCCTTAAACCCAAGGAACTCGTAGTCCGGCAAGGTGGCAAGGCATGTCAAGACATGTCAAGGTATGGCAAAAGAGGACAGGGAACAAAACAAAATACAGTTCTAAAGCTTGACACAGAAAGAAAGAAGGACACAGAAAGCGGTTTTGTTCGTAGTAGTGAGGGGTACTGTATATAACTATAGTATATTATAGTGATGTCCAGACCAGCAGCGATGCCTATTCTGTTGTTCGCTGTCAGGGAGTGAGTAGAGCGGCAGTAGGAGTGTTTGGGTTTGTTGTGGGGTTGGCAGCGTCAGGTGCAGTACATCACAAGCACATGGGAAAAGATTTAATGCTTTTGTTAGAGTGTAAAGCGAGTCCAGCTCCGACATTTGTTTTTTAGCCCAATACCGCAATTGCTGTCAGGCACAAGTCTGTGATGAGGTGGGAACCAGCTTGTGCAGTTCTCCAAATGTTTTTTTGTCTACAAATTCCGAAGGGAAGAAGCAAAGAGGCAGTAAGTGCCAGCGTGGTACAATTGAGTGCTTGATACTCTTTGCAACCTCAATTGTGGTACTTGGTATTCAGGATGCTTGCTGTGCTCGTGAGGAGTTGTGCAGCTTGCGACAGCAGCTGGCCTCTCAGCACGAGGTCATGGCTCAACTGGGGTCTCAGACCGGTCGTCAGAGAAACATGAAGATGTTATTGTCCGATGATGGGCTTCTAACCTGTTGTTTTTGGCGCTCTTCGGTCTTGACATTGTGATATCAACTTATGCGGCAGCGCTAGAGGGGTCACATATGTCCAGCAAGATTCCGCGGGCGATGCTGATACATCTTGGCAGAGATTGGTCATCGAGCCACCGATCTGTCAAAGAAACGAAGAGCCCCCGAGTCTTTGGTTGGTGAGCAACCCCATTGTGCCAGGAACTTGACGCCTTGCAAGCAGCACATGGCCAGGAGCGGTGTCAGTACCGGCACATTTCCATGGATTGTGTGCCTTGCTGCAGTCAGATTTTTAGCAAGTAATGTCCATGGCGTCTCCAGCAATGCGCACCTTTGAGGAGCTTGAGCGCTTGCGCGAGGAATTGAGCCGGGAGCGAGAGCTCCATCAGGAGGCATCTGCGGGCGCAACAAATCCATGTGCCTGAGGGCTCGGGTTTCAGGTCAAAAATACAAGCCATCGAAGTTTCATACACTCGTGAAAGATGCGCTATTGATAGACTTCTGAGCTGGAACACTCAGATTTGTACTGTGAGCGATTTCAACCTCAGGCTTCGCGTTTGCTCCAAGTGCAGAGAGATGAGAAGGTCTTGGAGCCAAGGGTGCCGTGTCAGGTGGCTAGATGGGTGGAAGTGGGCCAGAGGGCCAGACCTGAAAAAGCCCTTGTTCGATATATATACATATAATCACGTGCACGTGATGAACATGGAGTCAGAGCCATGCCGATTAGGAATTAACAGGTACCGTATACCGGGATATGCTGAGGATGTCAAAGCTCCTCTGCTATCCTCAGTAAAAGAGCAGCTCTCACATAAGGAGTTCCGAGGGTTAGAACAGATACTGTACTTTTCCAGCCAGCAAATCGTGCGTCATGATCTGCCTGACCATGCCCAAAGCACCTCATGCTGCGGGCAACGGGTTTGCCTGCCAGCCTGCCAGTCAGTTTTCTTGTTCCTGAGGAAGAGAGAGGGAGAGTGTCAAATCCAAAGCATTTTCTCTATCACAATGAAGTGGGCAGTCCAAACTCCAGTCCATTGCCAATGTTCTAAGTGTTGATTTTGTGGATTCTCGTTGTTAGTGGAATCGTTGAACAGTGCTATTAAAGAGTTGACAGTTGGGACAGTTGGGCAGTCAGATTGGTAACTTTTTGACCCAATGACATAGATAAGGTCATCCCAGGAAAAGGGACATCGCTCTTAGGATGGAGGCCATCGCTTCTAGGTTGGAGGTCATTGCTATTACGGGGGAGGCCATCGCTAGTAGGATGGAGGCCATCGCTATTACCTAAACGGCCTTCATGGTCATCCTATCACACATCACATTTGCACCCATGAGGTCCGAGACCTTCAGGAAGAGCTGCGAAATCTGAGCGATGGGCTGGCTCAGAAGGCCGGTTTGGCGGGGAGAGTTTGTAGAAAGGTTACCTCAAATGGTAACTGACTGTGGAAGCAGTTGCTTTTTGTTTGCTTGGGCTTGGTCAATTCCAATCCGTTTGCGTGGGGCCATCCGCAACATGGGGAGAGAGAAACCAATGAGTAAGGGAAGAATATGCGACACATTCTTTTTCTCTTTCAGAGTCGCCATACCTGTCCACCCTTTGAGAGAATCGCTTGCTCTCTTGCTGCTTGGGAACGGGTGGCTTGTTGGGAGAATGAGCCGATCATAAAGGTCCTCACTAAGCCTTAGCCTTTCTTTTGAAGCTAAATACCAAGGCTGCTAGGGTGCCCTATTTGTATTTGTCCTTGGCTGTTTTTTGTGTTTGAAATCACATATATATATATATATATTTATACATAATTGCATCCATTGACCCTGTCAACGGTAGGAGGAGGACATGTTGAACATCCAGTTCAGCATGGCCGACTTGCAGAATCGCTGTGAGGACCAGGGAGTTCGGTATCTCAGCAACTTTTAGGACACGTTTGGACCAGACGTTCTTCCAATCGACATTATAGACGCTTTGATGATTCTGATGGTTTTGGGATCCTCCAACAACCATGCATTTCCACGGGTTCGGCAATTTTCCGGTTTTCTTGATGGTACACGGCCTGAAGGAGGCACTTCCTACTTGACTTTGAAAGTTCTTTCCTTTGGACGGAATCTGTCCAGCGCGACCCCTTTGCCCATTGAGATGATGACTTCACACTCAACGATGGAAGCATCTGAAGCCGTTTGGCCCTACACAATCCCAATCAATGGGCGTTTGCGAAGGCAAAGAACGAAAACTCATCCAAGAAAGTATCAATCAACCACGGTACCTTGCATAAGATGCCTATGCCTGCAAGATTAGGACAGCTTCAAAGTATGTATATGCGCAGCGTTGACTTGATTCAGAATGCTTCTTTCCCAGGTCATGAGTCAACATGAAGTGATCAAATGCAGCAATTCTATGCAATTCTTGGCCTGAGCCTCTCACATCTAAAATCGTTGTATGTATTTTAGTTGCCAGAATGAAGGTCCACCCTTGAAGCCATCGGCGCTCGATCTTTCTGTTGCTTCTCTTTGCGATGCTGACAGTCCACACTCTCGGTGGCTCAAGCTACATCCTGGAGCCTGAGGAGGGCATCGTGCGCTGCCTGGTGGCAGAAAAGCTGGGGCAGCCCATCATGAGGACGAGGCAGTGGGTGATGGGGATGACCGAGCAACAATTCGCGCCACACTCATGTGACAAGAGAGTTGCAAATTAGGAAAGACCTAAATAGGTTTATATATAGTTCTTTCAGAGGTTTGACTCGCTTGTTAAAAGGGTCTTCTAGGATTGTAGTCTGTGGAGGTCGAGGTTTACTAAAGGAAACCTTCATATGATGCCCTGGCCTTTGTGTACACCTATCCGGCCTTCACCTCTTCTCCGTTGTTTGCAAGACTTGACACCCGGCTTTTGTCCTCGCTTTCTTAAAGGTCTTCATTCTCGCTCTTCTCCGCTCTTGGTTCTTTTTCTCCTACTGGATGGACGTGCATATCTTTGAATTACTTTCTTGGTTCAGATTTGTGCTCTTCGAGTTGTTGTTTTTGACACATGTTATTGAAGGCCTTCTCTCGATTGATCTCCCATGAACCTTTGAGCTGCTGTCTTGGAAATCAGCAAAGGCTCACCAGAGGCTAGATCATTTGAAGTTGATGAAGTGTTGTAGATGTCACCCGGGACTGCTAGTATATATCTTCGTACCTTGTTTGGATGACTGGGGGCAACCCTGGCACTGCAGTGTGGTTTCAAGTTTGGATGATCCACATGCATGAACTTGATTTATTGGGAACGCGGTGATGTCAACTGACTATGCCTTTCTGGTCCTTGACTGTTGGGTTTACTTGGCTATAATCATTTTGTTAAAGAGAGATGAAGTATGGTGAAGATGGCAATTGCACTCCCAAGTTATGCTGGGAGTCCAGAAGCTTTTTCCCCGGCCAATCTCCTGTGGACTCGCGCCAGATTGGTTTCTGCGGGAGCCTTGCTTCCATGTGATGCAACATGGGAGGACCAGATGTGACACAAGGGGAAAGGTTTGCATGAACATCAATTCGATGCTGGTACACCACGAAACAGATCGAAACAGCGCAACCCGACCCCCATTGACATTCGGATGGAACTGGATGCATAGCTAAGTTTCCCGAAAATCTAGGAACCAAATGAATAGTGCGAGCGTGAGCTATCCTGCGTCCAGTTACTACAAGCTTAAGTAGCTACCAGCTACCTCTCCGTTACTTAATTAAGTAGGCACCTACTTAATTAAGTAGGGAGGGGGGGAGCCGGCTACAAAGAAAAGATTAAATGATAGTCGCTTCACAGCTCGAGTTTGTCCGTGCCAGGATCTAGATGGGGTGCACGAAGTGGAGATGGTGTCACTTCCCGCGGTCATGGACTTCGCTGCGGATTTGTTCCAGGCAGTACAGAAGGGCACAGTGACTCGACGAAGAAGCAGAGGTCTTGCAGGAGAATGGAAGAGATTCTGAGAGAGGACGATTGACGGTTCAGACCGTTTAGTGCCGAAGTTGAGAAACTTGGGTGTTCATTGAGTGTCCTTTGTCATTGACGCGGCTCAGGCCCGTGAGGTGGAAGCAATCTTGCTGAAGTGCCAGGCTGCCCGAACCGATCTCGTGGCACGGAGGGGAAAGGATCATTTCACAGCATTTTCTAGAACACTCGTGGCCAGCGTTGGGACAAATAGATCTAAAACGGAATCTCTGAATCTCTAAAACACTCAGGGTCAGAGTTTCTGTTTACACCCAAAGGCTGGAATTTGATGGTACACAGAGGCATCACCAGAAGGTTCCTGTGAAGCAACTTGGATAAATTATTCTTCGAGTGGTGGGATTCTTTCGGCAGCCAGATTTCAGAACGGGATGTGAGTATGGTCAACACGTTTTTTGCGAAGCCCGGCGGCGCCGGTTCATTGCACCTTCGCTTTATTTTTTTGTACGTCCTCGACAGTACAGGTTTAACAGAAGGACCAGTCTCATCTCCTTATTTTTTGGTATTGTGTTTTCCGCTTGAAATCACAAGCCTCTGATTCTCAAGCAGTCCTTCAGATCGTTCGGCTTGCAGGATCCGAACTGTCGAGATGCCAGAGGCAATTGGGTCTTCTTGAAGGCGGGTCGAGAATGCGGCTTTGCTGGGTTTTGGCCGGAAGGCTTCAGATCTGTTTGAGTAAGAGAACCATCAGTAGAGCTATTCACAGCTACTGTCAGCCAAACTCTCTGGAGGTCACATGTCTCTGAGGCCAGTGGAAGTCGAAGCCCCCAAAAACTGGAGATCCTCCGCCTGCTCTTTGCTGCGGCGGCCGACATCTACGTTGCTGATCGTGGCGGGCGCCGGGCGTTGCACATAGCCGCCAGCCAGGAGGATGCTGAGGCACAGGGAGAGGATCGTTCTGGGAGCCCATGTGTGCTGTTGGCTGAGCCAAGAGCATGCCATTTTTGTGGTAGAGATGACCCAAACCTAATGCGATCGCAGACAGGAGTGGCCTCCTTTTGAGATCGACTTCTAATGTCTGAGAATTGATTCCTAGTGTCCTAGTGTCAGTGCAACATGTATATCATCGTGCTTGAAAAGCTCCCACTCCACAGGCACTGGGCTCTGAAAAAAACCAGCGTTTTAGGTGGTTTGCCAACCTTCTCATATTAACGTCAAGCTAAGAGTTGGGCGTTGTCCGAGACAACGAAGCCCGTGTGAGCGGATGTGTTTCACCTTCCCCCTTAAAGCAGGCCACAAGAGGAACGGAGGACGGTTTGTACCACTAGGCAATTTGGTGATGGTCGGGTGATGGTCTGTTGATTCCTTCTGGTCTGGTTTTGTGGTTGGGACAGAGTTGTTGAAGATGATCCGACAGATTGTGGCTTTAGAGGAATCGCTCCGAAGAAGTTGCTGAAGCCGCCTGCATGAATGAATATAAATGAAAGTGCAAGTAAGTGCGCCTATGTCAACAAAGTTTAGGCTAGGCTAAACACTCAGTGCAACTAGGGTGACCGAGAACAAGTGTGTCGAGAATGTCGAAGCCATTTTTGGACACTCCGGGTTTTGTGCACGCAGAGCACTGTGGCAAGTTGTCTTGCCAGCGCTTTCTGTCGTGAGTGTGGTTCACATTTAAGCTCGTTACTATGGTACTTGGACCTCTGAAGATGTGCCGGCTTTCGCTTCCCAACATTCTCAAGTTAGTTTCTCGGTGCGATTAGGACAAGTTGTATTGCATACTGTCCAAATGTGATCACCCTTTGCTCCAGAATAGCCTTGCAGAAGACGTTCCAAAAGCCTTCTCTCCTGCCCATCCATCTCCGAAGTATAGGGGTTGCAGGATGTTGAAGGATTGTCCGACGAATGAACAAAGCAATATACATACTCATTCCGAACCCCTCCCCCCAAAAGATCCTGTAACAAGACGCTAGTAGAAACAAGTGCATCGCTACTAGTAACAGGCGCCTTACTACTAGTAACAAGGACGCTACTAGTAACAAGTGCATCGTATCTAGTAACAAGTGTTCTTATTCTCACCGTGACTTCCAGGTACTTCGCTTCTTGCTGCAGGCTCGTGCGGAGACAGAAGCGGCAGACACCTTCGGCTGCACCGCGCTGCATTTGACGGCGCTTAGAGACTCCGGACAGGCGCTTTGAGTTCGAGCACGGTCGTGTTGTTCCAGCCAGTTGCCGGTAGACAGAGAACGGGACCTTTCGATCATTTTCGATCGTTTCCGCTTTCTTGAACGCCTCACTCACTCTGGATTCTATCGATTGGTTGGACAGATTGGACCATTCCAGTTTTGTCTCCCCTCTTTGAACCGACTTCCAGCTTCAGGCAGCCCAGATTCTGTTGGAGTTCAAGGCAAACAAGGATAAAGCTGATATCAGTGGAACAACTGCCTTGCATGCCGCCTCTGAGAAGGGTCATGTTGGAGTCTTGCGTGTATTGCTGAAAGCACGGGCAGATACAGAGAAACCCGACACCAATGGTCTGACTCCGTTGCGCGCTGCTGCTGGTGTGGGCCGCTTGTCAGCGGTTCAGGACTTGGTGGCCCATGCCGCAAACATCAACAAGGCTTGCAGCATCGGGATCACGCCAGTTCATGCGGCTGCAGACCGTGGACACCTCCAAGTTGTGGATGTTTTAATCTGCAGCCGTGCAAACTTGAACCAAGGAGACCTTCACGAGAGCAACCCGTTGCATGCCTCAGCTGCGGCTGGGCACCTAGAGGTGGCACGTTTGCTGGTTGAAGGTCGTGCAGATTTTCATCTGGGGAACGTGCATGATGTCAGCCCGCTGCACGTGGCGGCAGGGCAGGGACAGGCTGAGGTCGTACAACTTCTGGTGCAGGCTGGCGCGGAAAAGAACAAAGCAAATTCCTTGGGAGCGACTCCTTTGCGTTGTGCTGCTGAACACGGGCACAGGGATGTGGTGAGCTTCTTGCTTGACATGCATGCAGACATCATGATTGGGGACAACAGCCAGACCATTCCACTGCATGCAGCTGCTGCACAAGGTCACCTTCACATTGCTGAGCTTTTGGTGAGGTTCAAATCTGATGTGAACCACCGAAATCAGGATGGGATTACGCCTTTGCATGCTGCCATCAGTCGGGGTGACCCTGATTTGGTCCACTTCTTGATGGGTTGCAGGGCCCATCCTGAACAAGCAACCCTCAAGGGAGATAGGCCTCTACATGCTGCAGCAGAGCGAGGCCACGCAGGCTTGGTTGACATCCTTCTGCGAGCGCGGGCAGACGCGAACTGTGCCAACCACGGCGGTTCTTCTCCACTTCATGCAGCTGCAAGTCTAGGTCGTTTGGAGGTGTGGGTCCCAGATGGTCCCAGTGGGCCTCAATTTCAGGATTCATTCGTCGCCAATATTCACTAGGCCAAAAGACTGTGATGACACGAAGCTTTCCTCTGTTCCAAAGGAGTTTAATGAGACATTCGCTACTAGGTTGGAGGCCATCGCTACTAGGTTGGAGGCCACCGCTACTAGGGTGGAGGCATGTGGAGGCCATCGCTACTAGGTTGGAGGCCATCGCTACGGTGGAGCGCTACGCTACTAGCTTGAGGCCATCGCTACTAGGGTGGAGGCCATCGCTACAGGTTGGAGGCCATCGCTACTAGGTTGGAGGCCACCGCTACTAGGGTGGAGGCATGTGGAGGCCATCGCTACTAGGTTGGAGGCCATCGCTACTAGGTCGGAGGCCACCGCTACTAGGGTGGAGGCATGTGGAGGCCATCGCTACTAGGTTGGAGGCCATCGCTACTAGGGTGGAGCGCTACTAGCTTGAGGCCATCGCTACTAGGGTGGAGGCCATCGCTAGTAGGTTGGAGGCCATCGCTACTAGGTCGGAGGCCACCGCTACTAGGGTGGACCGCTACTAGGGTGGAGGCATGTGGAGGCCATCGCTACTAGGTTGGAGGCCATCGCTACTAGGGTGGAGCGCTACTAGCTTGAGGCCATCGCTACTAGGGTGGAGGCCATCGCTACTAGGTTGGAGGCCATCGCTATCGCTACTAGGTTGGAGGCCATCGCTATGAGGGTGGAGGCCATCGCTACTAGGTTGGAGGCCATCGCTACTAGGTTGGAGGCCATCGCTACTAGGTTGGAGGCCATCTCTACTAGGGTGGAGGCCACCGCCACTAGAGGCCATCGCTACTGGGGTGGAGGCCATCGCTACTAGGTCTGAGGCCATTGCTACTAGGGTGGAGGCCATCGCTACTAGTAGAGGCCATCGCTATTGGAGACCATCGCTACTAGGTTGGAGGCCATCGCTATATTAAGGTTGAGGCCATCGGTACTAGGTTGGAGGCCATCGGTACTAGGGTGGAGGCCATCGCTACTAGGTTGGAGGCTGTCGCTACTAGGGTGGAGGCCGTCGCTGCTAGGTCCATCGCTACTAGGTTGAAGGCCATCGCTACTAGGGTGGAGGGCATTGCTACTAGGTTGGAAGCCATCGCTGCTAGGTTGGAGGCCATTGCTACTAGATTGGAGGCCATCTAGAGCGGAGCCATCTATTATAGGTTAATATGAGCGTTCTAAATGAAACATCTTTGAAGCTGAGACATCTTCAGCGCTAAATTATTTTCGTGCAGCCGAGGCCGCACGGACCTTGGTCCAAGCTGGCGCTGACAAGGAGATGCCCAACGCCGTAGGGGTAACGCCGCTGCGTGCAGCAGCGCGGCAGGGAAGCTTTGAGATGATCTGCCTGTTGGTGGAGGCTGGCGCGAAGCAGGTCTTCTTAGAGGCTGGATGTGAGGTTGAGCAGGAATTGCTGGTGACAGTGATAAGCCTGAAAACATCTACCCAACCTAAAGAAATCAATTAGGGTCCCCCCTGAACGCGAATTAGTATTTCTGGATTCGTGCGACATCGCAGAGGTGTACCCCTCAAACGTTTGCAAAATTAATCCAGGCAACACACGCTCAAACTCAACAGGTTTTTGTCATTTTTTCCGGTCAAGACCAAAATGGTCATGTTGCAAGAGTTGCTCCCAGACCGGAAGATCTGGTGCAAAAATCCAATAATTTTCCTCCGGTGAGCTCTGAGCCACGTTTGGGATAAACAGGCAGGATTTTTAGTAAATACCAGTAAATTCTGGCATCCAACCTCTCTCAAGAGGTTTTGACCAAGAAACTCCAAGTTGGGTGAACATCTTCTATTTGAAATGCTCTCCGGGCACTCCCAAAAGCGCGTCTTCTATTGGAATTACTCCCTGAATATCTTCTATCTCTGCGGTGAAGAGTATAATTAGGCTATTTTGGAAGGATTGGAACTTGGGGGGCCTGATTAATCTCTTCTGGCAGCTGTGACAGAAGAGAGAGAAGGCGCGACGCCCAGCAGTTAATTTTTCTAAATTTATATTTTGCTTCTCCAACAATTTGTCAAAAATTCTGGCAAAAACCTAAGTCAGATAATGACGTTGGCATGCTCCCAATTATACCTTGGATCAAGCTAGGGTCATGTCTACTGAGTCTACTGTCTACTTGAGAAATAGTCGAGATTTTGTGGAGATGCTGCACACCCTCGATTAACGATCAATATTAGTTGGGCCATCAATTGTCTTCATTCCTATAAAGTGGTCCATGCCCTTTTTGTTACCTGAATCTCAAATGCATGTGTATGTGCGTATGCGCGTTTGGAGTGTAAATCTCAGTTCCTCCGCTAGCGATGCAATATATTCACCGCCGCTGAGCTGTTTCCAAGAAAGCGGCATTTGGCAACAAAGCCGGCGACAAAGCCGGAAGTAGCCACACTCAAAACCTAGCAACAAAATTTAATTCAGGGGGCTGGCCTTTGGAGAAGGGGTAGATTAATTAAATTTAGTTGGCAAGCATAGGCCTGGGAAAGTGCAGGGGGATTCATCACCAGCCCCACAAAAGTCAGGCAGGAAAGTAGCCACCGCACCAGGAAAGCAGCCACCGCACTAATAACTCTTGAACCGAAGTCCTTCTATATGATGACTTGTGGCAGAGTCTTTGAGCTTGGCCGCTTATGTAAGTAAAGAGGAGTTGCGAGATGTTTGGACTATACTGGATCGGGGTTTGCCGCCTGGGGAGTGGACATTAATTGAGGGGTTTGTGAGTAGTTGATGAGTTAGGGCCGCCCCCAAGTTAAAGCTATAGAACATTAATTGAGGGGTAGAGGTACTCTCGATTAATTTCCACAAAGCCGGTTGTGTTTCTTTATTGATCGCCCCCCCACCAGGGCCCCATCTGACACGTTTTTGTTCTGGGGCGCCTTAAATGACTATTCCAATCGTTTAGGTTTTTTAGACATTTTCTGAATATTATTTAGGGAGTAGCCGAGAAAGACTTCAGTTGGTGATGGAATAACATCCTAAGGACGCAAAAAAAAACGAGAAACACATTACATAAAACATAACATAACAGAGAACAACCAATTAGATAGATCATGACAGATCAAGCAGAGTCAGGTTTCTTTCAGATTAGATTTCAGACCTGGGCAGAGGTGCTGAACAGTGCTCCAAGATGCGGGCAGCTGTACATATTAATCAATAGGTGGTTGAGTGGTTGACGTCTCATGTACTTTGGGTTTGAACGCTGCATAGGCTCAATTGTTTACCAAAAAGGGAGGTCAAGGTCCGGTCTCTTCGATTAGTACACTCGACCCTAAGCCGGTTCGCATGCGTTGTTTTGCTAAGGGGTATCCGCTCGCGCCTTCGCAGGGAAAACGGGCAACGAAAACATGTTTGTTTTTTATTTCTATTTTTACCGCGCATGTGGTAGAAACAAGGGCCGAACCCCTGAGGACATGTTGAAGAATCAATTTTTACCCTTTTTGGCCGCGCGTGTGGGCGACCCCCCGGGACACACGGTAAAAACATGTAAAAACCATAAAGGTGCTAAAAAGTCGGGAAAAAACGGAAAACGAACAAACATGTCTTGTTTTTTCAGTTTTACCGCGCGTGTGGTAAGGCAACCGACTTGGGAACAAAACGATAAACAAACAGACATCTTGGCTTTTTTTTACCATTTTTGCCACGCGTGTGGTAGAAATATTGGGGACCGACCCGGGAAGAACCGTCAAACAAAAATACCGTGTTAGCGCGTGGGCGCCGACGCTAGAGGAACTCTCTGTAAGCAAAAGGTCAGACTTAAAGCGAAAGGGTTATATACATTGAAACGCGAGCGGTACCGGGGTCTGGATCAAAAACAATTGTGAAGGATCAAAGGAAGAATAACAGAACCAAATCCACTCTTCGAGTCTAGTATTCCCCTAGACCTTGGTTTCCCGGTCCGCTCCCCTGATCCTTCGGTCTCCTGGTCCAGTGGCCCCTAGGCCTGAGGTCTCCCACTCCTTGTCCTTCGGTCGGCTGGCCGTTGTGGACTTGGCCTACTAGTCCACTGCTCCTTTGATCCGCTGGTCTCTTGGTCTCCTAATCCGCTGGTCTCCTGGTCCTTCGATCTCCCTGGACTGGTTCTTCAACTCAAATCGAAGGTTCCGTGGTCTTTGGTCTTCTGGTTCTTTGGTCCTGCGGTCCTTTCATCCCCCGTCCTTTGTTTTTTGGTCCTTTGGGTGCCCTAGTCCTTTGGTCCCCTGGTCCCTTTCCTGGTCCGCTGGCCTCGTGGTTCATTGGTCAATGTTGGTCAAAAGCACGAGGTTTGCAAAAGCAAAGCGCTACCCGGTTGCCTTGATCCTTGCGTCACTTTTGAGTGCCCTTGATTGACGAGGCAATGGAGTGTATGATCTATTTGTGGTGCCTTTAGAGTCTGATGGCTTTTGATGTTTGGTTCGCTCTGAGGGGGAGGCGCTGCCCTCCCCCCAAGCCCCCTCCAGCGCCACGAAATCTGCACTACTTTTACCAATGAGCTGGGCCTACCGCGACAGATGTTCTAAAGGTCACCCACGCACCCATCGCTCTCACAAAATATTGTACGCGCCCGCCTAAGTCTTTTTGTTTTTGTGTTGCACGCGGTTGCTAGCATCCTTCCTTTGTCCTGTGGTGGATGGGCCCCTCATTGATTGGGCAATGTGTCGTGTAGTTTTTGATGATGATGTATTTTGTGGTGCCTTCGGCGTTTGGTGGCTCTTCAGTGTGCAACCCCGCTTCGGCGCCACGAAATCTGCACTACTTTGGCCAATGCGCTGCCACGACCGACATTTTGAAGGTCACCCCATCGCATATCCACACAGCAAGTATTGCACACCCTTGCCTAAATTTTGATTATTTGTTGCAATCATCCTTTCATGGTCCTCTTGTCGCCCGCCCTGCTGCTGTTGTCCTTTCCCTAGTCTCCTTTTCCTTTCATTGCTCACCCGGATTTTTTCATTTTTTCTTTTTGACGCCCGTCGAATATTTTTTTATTGATGCTGTGTTTTTTGACCCCTCACCCAGCGGTACCCCTTAGTGTAACAACGCACGCGAGCCGATTCAGGTTCACCGAAGGACTTCAAACGATCGGAGTGTAGGGCAACGAAAATGAAGCGATCCTTCGTCCACTCATGTGTTTCCTTTGTCTTCAAGAGAGAAACATGTACAAAAAAACTAGACGACGAGTGGCCCGAAAGCATTTTTCATCACGTAGGAAATCAGAGTGCGAGTTATCCGGTAAGTGTGTAGTGAGAAGTGTTAAGTCGAGTGAGTTGAGGTAGTGTGTGGGTTTCTGTGCGTGTGTCTATGTCCGTGTGGAAACGAGTCTGCGTATGTGTGTGTTCGTGGAAGTTGAGGGAGTGTGTGGGTGTTTGTGTGCGATGCGGCCTCCCAAACCCCCCACCGGCGGCCAAGCGGTGACAGCCCAGCTCATCGTCGTGAGCATTTGGGCTGCTGGTAAGGGGACAATGGCAGCCAGCGTGCTGGCTTACCCACTTCAACTATGATGG